GTGCAGGTTGATGTTGGCCCAGGCTTCCTGCCTCTCTAAGAGAGGGTGACCATACATAAATGTATGGGTTAGTGTCACAGGCTCAGCTGGGTTTGTATGGTTTTATTTATACATTTATTTATTTATTTGTTTTATAATGTCTTCCCTCTTGCTTAATCTTTAGGGGTAGTACTATTTCTGCAAGTTCTCTGTAAAATGAGTATATTTTAGTAGGAAACACACTTCCTTGGTGAATTCCCAATTGGAGTAGAACTAGTTGCGTTTGCAGGTGATTTTCAGTCAGCCACACTGTAATTTGTTTACAAAACAGAAGTTTTTCACCCTCCTAGTTCATGCTGCATTTCTCCTTCATGCCTTTTTGAAACAAGCAAACATTCAGGCAAGGAGAACATAATTTGACCAGCATTATCAGCTAAATAAAATAGCTCTGTGTTTCTCTGTCTTAAGTTATGTTGTAAGTTGCTTTCTCTTGTGCTGGTCAAACAAAAAAATGTCTCCAAAGCCTGGGCTCTGCCCAAGTCCTTTTCATTGTGTATTCTGGGTGCATGTTTATACAGCAGTGAGCATAGCTGGTGCAGAAACAATCTAGTTGTTCCTTAAGCTAGACCTGGGTATTGCTGGTCCTCCTGGACTACAGACCCTGCCAGCAGACCGGGGGGGTCTCAGCCTGCTCGCAGATGCCTCCTGCAGCGTCCAAGCAAGCTACTGTAAAAGGAGCTTGGTACATCTGGAAGAGCTGCAGCCACTGCAGTGCAGACATGCCCTGAGGTGAACAGTGGTTGGGGATGAGAAATGTCTGTGTTTGGTTCCAACTTTTACTAAAAACCTTGGAATAATAAAGAAATCCTTTCCCCCCCATATATTTTATAAAGAAGTGGTCTGATGCATAACTGCTCCTTGCCCTTCCCTCTGAAGAACTGACTCCAGCAGTCTGTGAAGCTTTCCGTGCGTGCATGCCCGTGTGTAGAGGGGGTTGTTCATTATTTATTTCAGTGTTTCTTGAATAGAACTGAGTGGTGTCTCAGGAAATTTGGGACAGTGGTTCTCAATGGAGAGTGAGGTACTCTGGTGAGAGGAATGAATTTGGGTTCTAATTAATTTTGTGTTGTCTGAGGCTATGTCAGCACTAGCACTCTGAGCAGATTACATGGAAACGCACAGATGGTTTTCCCAAAACGTGCGGTATGGCTTTGAGAGAAAGCACGAGAGGCGAGTATGCCAGTCTGTGGAAGAAAAGGAGAAGCAAGTAGCGAGCAAAGGTAGACATCTTGCTTGATGAAGGCAAGATCAGATGTTTCTCGGTAGAGATTTGAGACATAATGGTACCAGGCTTCAGGTATGAATGATCGAGAGCTTAGTTTTATTTCTGCTGTTAGTTTGTGGATAAGAAATAGGTACCAACTGGGCATCTGGCTTTATGTCACGTCCCCTTTTGGCAATGACAGTGTGGGAGATGTGTCAGGATGAAGAGAGAGCTGGTCTCTCTGACTCAAGGTTTGAGGCCTTTAAAAATCATGATAGATTGAATTTTCTACCATAGGTTTCTGTGGAGAGTGGTTCTAATAATGACTTAGTTTGGGGAAATTCCTGTATCAACAAGATAGACGTAGAAAGTGCGTTTGCTTTTGCCTTTTGGTTACCACTTGCATCTCTAAGGAGTGGGAAGCATTTGAAAAGCACAATTTATATTTCTGTGCTGTGATTTCCTGATTAAAATGGTAAAACTATCCATGAAGCTGTGAATTAGGATGCAGCCATCACTTACCCCTATCGTTAGTTCACGTGTCTAACCCCATACTTCCTGCTCAGCTCCAGAATTTTAATATTAATGAGAGCCTCAACTGTAAACCCCAGGCCAATTGAATTTGATGCAAGCAATGAAACTCCAGATCAGCAAGAGTTTAGGCCTTGTAGTTGAAGTGGCAGTTTCCTGTTCTGTATTACATCTCTCAGAGAGAGGTCTGATTCTCAGGCTAAAGGTTAGTATAGGGAACCCACCCTTGTTCAGTGCTTGGTTTGCAGTTTGCTGCCTTCAGGTGGGTGGGTGGAAAGAACAGCAGCCTTTCTTCCAAACAAAGGGAACGCGCTTCCTCCTATCCCCATCCCCAAGATGAACGAACCCGGGCTGTCCTGTTAGATTTGCATCTGCTGTCCTGTCCTGTTCAGAAGGTTGTGTATGGGTTATTTAAGGGACAGAGCTGAAAGCTCAGTAATCAAAATGGCTGGAGCCTGAAATAAAATACAGATTCTCATTCTAATTTTAGCCAAGAAGTTTCACTGGGTCACATTGATCAGTTCTCTGCATTGTAATAAATTTGTTCCTGTGCATAGTGTCGATGTTTAACATCCAAACTGCCTTTGGAAGGCTGGAATGCCATGGGGATCAGTATTTGTAAGGTGCGTGAAGTCACCTGTTAAATGACACAACAAGACGTGATTTTTGGAAGAGTTACTTCTGAAAGATGTGCTTTTGCTTATACTTACAAAATCATACAATTTTTTCTGAAAGTTACAGTTTAAAGTGTAAATGTCTAAACATTTAAATTCTTCTGGTTTTGAAGTAAGAAAAGCAGGTTGTATATAATGTATGGGAAATACCTGTACTCTGTACTGCCTGTGTTCAGTGCTATGAACTCTGATTTCCTTGGTAACACACCAGAGAGAACAAATGTGCTGCTGAAGTCTCCGGAATGAGGTTGTTTGCCTCTAGTAGTGCAAGGCGACAGTTTTAAGTCTAATGCTGGTGCTCTAGTGAGAAGAGTTGTTCTTTCAATTGACTACTTAGGTGAAGTAGATAAAGCACTGCTAGTAGGTACTCAGAGCTTTTATCTGCTAATTACTCGCGTGATGAGGCTGTCCAGGTTGACTGGAAGGCAGGAGATGCTCATGATTCCACAACTGAGCAGAAGAGATGGCTTAAGAAGAGACAGATTGGTTATACAAATGCTCGGACAAGAGGTCAAGGTGCCGCGTCCAGCCAACTCTGCTATCCAGCCCTAGGAAACTGCCCCTGGTTCTACCTGTCCTTACTCAGCAGAGTTTATATGCTCCTCACTTCTGTCTGTACAGTGCGCCATACAGTTATAGTATCACTAAATTTTCTACAGAGTGAGGTTTTATTTGCTTGTAAGTGTCAGGTGTGGAGTTATGACCACCCTCTTCTGCCAGGCAGCTGAATGGTGGGTTATAGTGATCCTGGCTAAGTAATAAATCTGGCTAAGGAGATGTGCATGTAATGCAGTTATTAAACATATCTATGTGTGGCTTTCATTGTCAGCTTGATTTCCTTGAACCAGAGTGTTCTTTCACCGTTCTCAAAGCGTGCCTTGCTTTGCAGGCCTGAGTCCCAGCACAGGGCCGGTAGGGAGTGCATGCTGTTGACTTCAGCACTCTTTTTCCCTTCCAACTGAGCCTGGAAAGCCTTAGCCAAAAGACGGCAAACCACAGGGAAGTGGAAACGTGTGTGATGTAAGTGACACATAACTTCAAAAATACTGGCTAGCATCATGAAACTTTCATCCGTTTCCCATACCCCTTCTCCTGCTGCTTTTCAGCTCCAACTGCTTTGCATACCCTTGCCATCATGGATGACTGTAAGCTCTTCTACCCTGGGTGCTGCAAGGGGATGAATTTGTAAAATCTATTAATATATTGTACTAAGCGGACCTGGAATTGTGCGTTCTGAGAGCATGTTGGAAAGAACCTGGCATGCAAAGTGCAGGGCTTGTCTAGCACAATTTTTGTGCCTTGTATGGCCTGAGGAGTTGGCAAAATCTTTTGACAGACTAATAAGTTCTGCTGTAAGTCACCATTTGCTGACTTTTATTTTAACAGTCTTTTAAACCAATGTTTCAGTGTCTCCTTTTGTGCACACTCTGGAGATAATTTTTTTTTTTTAACATATGCTACTTGAGGAAAAAAAAAAAGCCATGCAGAACAGCCCAACAGTTTCTTTTTTATGAAAGAAAGTAGAAAGCATCAAATACAAGACCAAAAAATCAAGTAGGTGATATTTCTGGTACAGTTGGGCTGTCAAAATTCGGAGAACTGTCTGTCTGCAGAAGTGGGGTTACTTCTGGTACCAAAGAGGAGAGGTCCGCATTGTGGATGTGCTACTGGTTGCATTTTATTTATATTTTTCAATTGGAGCTCAGCAGTCCCTGAGGAAAGGGCGATGTCAGTAGCTATATTCTTCCCTTTGCTGTGCCCACTTGCTGTTTCTAATAATAATTCTTTCTCCTGTCTGTAATGCTGCTGCATTACAACACAGTCTTCAGTGCAGGGAGGACCTCCTCCTTTCCTGAGCTGCTGGTGAGAGTAGTTCGTTCTTTGTACAGCACCAAATACCACCCCTCCGGAGCATGATAAGCCAAAACCAGTGCATGAGATAAGTTATGTCAGCTGGAAAATCCAGCTTCACCTGTCCTTTAATGGCTTCTGTTGTCCTTTTTCCTCCCATCTTCCCTTCCCATCTTTCCTTCATATTCAGGCATGTGCTGTGGCTGAGTGAAAGCAGGGTTTGAATTGCAGCAGTGCCTGTTTCATGTCTGTAACCAAAATGCTTCTTTGAATTTGAGATCTGTAGAAGAATTACCTTCTGGCAGCTTTTCTAAAGATGTCTCAGAGAGAGAAATTGTCATGCTTATTACTACTGTGCTTAATTCTTCGCCGCTTTTATTTCTTTCTTGGTTGAACCCCTTATTTCTTTTCCTGACTGTTTTTTCCTAGAAGGAAGGAAGACTTTGACCATGATGTGATTCAGTCTGAATATTTTTAGAATGTATTTTCTGTATGGTGTTATTTTATAATCATCATGAAGATAATTTTGACATGCAGTGAGTAAGAAACTGGTCCATTCTGAGCTGCGCTCATGCTTTTAAAGTGTCACCTTTAAGGCTTTTCAATAGGACTTTCCACTATACCGTGTGCATGCATAAATACGCTGGATAGTTTAGAAGTACTCCTGTTTTCTGAGTGCAGTATGTGGCAGAGCCCAAACACGCCTTTAATTATCCTGCAAGAGAGTGAAACTCGATCTCATCCATTGTCACTGTCCAGAGCTGATTATTTGGAGCACAGTCCTTCTGTCATCCCAGAGGTGTTACGGCTGTTGTGTCTGTTCTATGCCACAGGCAATTGTGCGTGCATCTTCAGGTCATTAGGAACAGAGATAGCTTCATAATTGTGTGGGTAACTAAGGTTTCATTTCATTCCACTTTTAGCTGTGATTTAGCTGTTTTATTATAAAATAACCCAGGAACAAAAAGGGCACATTGAGGCTTCTGTGTTTAATTTATTGTGTACTAATTAAATAGGTTTTCATGAGCACCCTGAGTCTTCTCCATTCATTCTGATGTCTTAGCTCAAGTGTCTTCTTCTGGTCACCTCCCTCCCTCTAAAAGCATCAGTAGAAAATGAGATTAATTTTTGCATGTGTCTTACTGTTGAGGTGCTCAAGGTTGAGTGAGGAGAATACCATAAAAATGTTTGACAGGCAGTGCAGTTAGGCTAAGCCAGGTCTAAAAAGCTGGCAGATACCATTTTTACAGACCATGATGCAGGGCAGGGTTTTTCAAGTTTCTCGTAGAGAGTTCTGTTCAAAGCCCTCTTAGAATAAGCATTAAATGTGTAATTCAAAGCATGCTGATGGAAGTATGCATTGAGTGTTTTGTTCCAGGTCTAACATGCAAGTCTTTTTTTTTTTTTTTTTAAATTTTTTTTATTTTATATGAAATACATATGGCAATCCAGATCAGAACCGGGCTGAAGGCATATTTGGAATGCTGAATGGTAGGGGTGTTTTCATGGCAGCAGCTACTGTAGTGAGGGTTTTTTTGTTTGCTAATATTAGCCGTATTTCAGTCTTTTTGTAGCAATATCCTATTGCTGAGTCTTGGTTTTAATGGAAATTAAAATAGTTAACAAACCAAGAAGTTTTAGCAGAAGGTCTGCGAAAATTTTGCCATTTGCAACAAGAAGGCATCCACCTGGCCTCCGGAGTCACCACCCCCGCACAGTTTGAGCTGTGGTACCTTAACGCTAGAAGTACATCTCTTTGTTTTAAACCACTGGTTTGGCCATGGTCAGTAACAGTGCTTTACAAGGTCAAATGCTGATGCTAGCTGGGTTTTGGTTTGGCCTTCCTGTTTCTCACCATCTTCGTGCTGCTGGTTGTGCCAGGATGAACACCTTCCCTGGAACACTGGGCGCATTCCATGTTTGTGATGGTCATCATCAGCTTAAATAATATAAAATACAGGGTTAATAATATGCAGTGGAACTCTTACATTTTTCAACACAATTTATTTTTTTTTGTAAGATACTGACTTCAGAAGACAGAGGGTTTTGTTGTCTTTCCCCAGAACTAATAATCTGTCTCTCTATTCTAATTAATTTTGTGTTCTCCCATCCCTTCCTTTCATACTTGTGGTTCTGGTGCTTCATGTTTTTTTATTTTATTTTTTTAGGCCTCTGCTTTTTGTGCTTTTGGCAGCTTCTCTTTAAAGTGGAACTTGATCAGGCATTTATTGCTATTTTGATCTCTAAAGCAATACAAGCTAAAGTCTTGATGTGTGTATACACATGTTGGTTTGTAAGATTCCAGCTTATTCAATTGTAGAGGCAAGATGTAATTTTGCAGGTACTGTAGTTTCATGTCTTCTGTGTGGAACAGTCTGTTTTACCAGTAGGGATTCTTTTCCGGAGATATGTTTGAGTGACTTGAGACTTAACTTCATTTCCTCTCTTTCAAAAAGTAACCCCCTGACTATTCAAGTAAGTCTGCTCCTTTTGCATGCTTCTGCATGTAAGTCTCTGCCTCTTACTCCTCACCCCAGCTCTATAATACCACATTTTAGCCTAAAGTCAGGCTTCTGGTTGCCTTAATACCATCTGTGTGCCTTGATTGCAGCATACTTTTTTTCATTTCTGAACCTGTGAATAAAGGAAAAACTGAGTGTCCTGGGGGAGTGTCTCCAGGGTCTCCGTGGAATGTCAGAATGTGCTTAAATGTGGTTTGTTTCCTAGGTTCCTTCACCAGGAGTCTCTGATAAGAAGACAGATTGTTCCCTCTGCTTTCTGCAGGTTCTTTCCAGGAGCAGAAAAGGTGCTTTTTGCCCTCTGCTTCAGTAATAGCTCCAAAGCTACATGCCAATAGCCGTATCAGCAGGCTGACCATACAGAATATTCTCCAATGCTCTGTTTTCAGTTTGGTAATCTCACTCTCCTCCCCCCTCCAGGTCCCCAGTTCTTCTAACTTTCCACAGACTAGTATTGGGCTAAATATTTAGGAACTGGCTGGGCTTGGAGTAAGCTTTCAAAATAAACCTTGATTATCTATAACCCAAAAGAGGTTTTTTCTCCTTTCTCTGCAACAATTTTTTTTTTCTGCCTTCTGATACCTTTCAGATCAGCAGGCAGTGAATTTTCTAGCCTGTCTCTGATTGCATAAATGGCCCCTTCGCAGTGGGTCTAGCGGACTCCCTCAGTGCAGGAACTGCAGTTGGCTTTCCTTGCCTGTGCCAGGGCTAACCTGGGTTCAGTTGGCCAACGCTAGCAGAGGTTGGGGTAGTTGCATAGTATAATGTAAGGGTAGCATGAAATAAAATTGACTTTACCATTACATTAAAGGGTAAACAGACTGTATGAAACATACTTTGCAATTTAAGTAAGCTCCTCAATTTTTGAAAATGTATCTGAAGCTGCTCTAGAGTGCCTGGTCTACCACAGTGGAGCACTGCAGAATCCAAGGGCCTCGCCGCAGGATTTAGGTCACGCTTGCTGCGGAGCACACAGGACCTTGGGTATTGTCCCTCTTCCTGAAATTCCTGAATCACCTCCTGGCTGCTTCTGGCATCTGTTTTTTGGCTCTCGCTGTTCACTTCGATTTCATATGTTGGTGCTTTAAGTACTCGGTGTTGTTTGTTTCATGCTGTGTGGATGTAAATGTTTAGGGGTTTCAAACACAGGCTGGTGCTTCACGGTATTTGTGTCCTGCTTGCTAGGCTCATGCCAACAGCTTTTGACATCTGGTTGGTATGTTTTGAATTCTCTTATACCGTCTGGCACCCATATTGTAGTTACCTGACAATAAACAGATGCTTCCTACCTTTTTCTGGAACTCTTCAACAAGCGGTTTGTGCAGTGCGCCCCGTGTCCTTGCACTAGTGTTCTGGTGCACTGTCAGGTGGGTGTATAAAAGACAAGTGAACGTGGGCTGCATCTTCTCTGAACTGGGAATCACGAAACTGCTTGCTTGGCGGGATATGCTCTCTAGCTTACCCCAAAAGCTGGGGGGAACTGCCAAATCCTTCTGCATCCGATAGCCATGAAATGTTCGTTCAGGGAAGTATTTCTAAAGTCAGTTTGGTTATTATGAAGGTTTTTCCTGACAATTGATGAAAGATGCTTCTGGGAGTTAGCTTTGCCATTTCCTGGCTTGAATTTGGACCTCTAGGTAATGATTTACGCAAATAGCATCCAAATTGGGACCTCTAGGTAATGATTTATGCAAATAGCACCCAAACAGAGCTTCTGCACAAATGGAAACTTGTTGCTTAACAAAAGTGCTTACCAGAACCGGTAGAGAAGTTGCTGAAAGTAAAAGCTCTGCATTTGCCCAGTTAGAGGTGTGTTTATCTTGCACTAAAATGCTTAGCACAGAAGAGCCAAAGACCTGGCAGCCATTTGCAGAGGAGCATGTTTTGTTGCTGCTGCTGCGAAATCTGTAGCTCACCTTTGGATGATATGTGTATGTTTCAAGGAAGATTTTAAAAGCCCCTCTGCCGTTATAGGCTTTCCTATTTCTTACTCAATACTAGGATTATCTGTGTTAGATCTTGGGGTTTTGTTCAGACGATTACTGTACAATATGACATTTTGCTCACATGAACAGTAAAAATAGAGCTGCAGGTATAATTGTGGGCAGTGCAAGCCATGGAATTAAGCAAGTCATGAGGAAGTAGAGAGGAAGCAGGATATTTTTCAGCATTCTGTTTAAAATTAGTATGTTTTAGTAATAGGAACTAGAAAGCTACAGTTTTCAGCAGTTGCAGAAGAAAATGAATGTAAACCGCACTGAGGCTAGTCTCTAAATAGAGCTGCAGGATAAACACCTCTGCAAAAGGCAAATTTAGAGAGGATTTCTTTGTCCGAGTATGAAACCCAAGTACTGTTTGTGTTACAGTCCTTTTGTTGGCAGTTTTGTGTTTGTGAATACAGTCCTCAGAGTTATTTTGTTTTATGACTCTTGTACCACTTTAATTTTTAATTTTGCTCTGTTAACTAGTGCATTGTGCAATAATTAGTCCCATGCTTTGATTCTCAGCTGTTATTTTTAATGAGTCTTGAGAAGAGTAACCTGTGGGAGAGTTGCATGCTCTTTGTTACCATCCCCATGGAACCGTACACGCATCTAATCGGGATGAGTTCATAGTAGCCCTCCATTTTTGAGTAATATGGCTATTTTCTTCTTCATAGGACTGAGTTTGCCCTAAAAGAAATCATGTCATCAGGAGGAGCTGAAGATGATATTCCTCAAGCAGAGAGGAAAACAGTGACAGACTTTTGCTACTTATTGGATAAATCTAAACAGCTATTCAATGGCTTAAGGTTAGTGCATTTTTGACAGTATTCCTTCAGAAAAGTGTTGGAACATACACTTCAGTGTGTGAGTGATGCTGTGCCAGTGTCAGTTGTACACTGAACATTTTGAACTCAAACCCAGTATGCTTGTTTAGGAGAGGACAGCGTGCACCTATGTATGGGTAGTTTTGGACCGTATATGTAAGAATGTCTGTAGGAGTAGAGGTTCACCCATTTCTTCTGAGATAGTAGGGAAGGAAATGTGAGAAAGGTGAGCTGAGTGTCTCAGTCATGTCATTTAACAGTAAGCTAGAAGTTGGAAATTCTGTGAAATTGATAGAATTCGTACTGAAATGTTGTGTATGAAGCACACAATTAAGGACTAGGTGTGGCTGTATGCAGTCAACAGCATGCAAGTCCAAAATGCCACAGTCTGTACAAAAAGAAAAAAAGGGATGGGAAAGATCAGCCTAGGTGGGAGGAAAGGTGAGGAGGGAGTACTTTTTTGGGAAGAAGGTTAGGAAGTGATAAACAGGAACATCCAAACCATAGCCTGTATGTGTATGGTGAAACAAATGCTTAATCTAAACGGTGGAGAAGAGTAAAATCTGCATTTATCTACCAAGCATCTGCAATAACATCTAGAAAGTCTAGCTGTTTTGTTAGTACCAATAAGAAGGGGAATAAGAGTAAAAGGGGAATAGTTCATGTTTGGACAGTGATATAGGCATCCTGTTTATGTCAATATATGATGAGTTAAAGCTTATGTGTTCAAGAGCTGTTTTATTTCTAAGCTTTGCTGTAGTCTCTTAAGCAACATGGTTTTTAGCTCATATCTTGTTGGCAGTTCAGCATCTTACTGGTCTCTGAGTAATACTGTATGTTTGGGCCCATATAGCTTGCTGTTACTCAAACACAGATGGTTAGCAAAGATGTTTTTAATTTCCCCCCCCACCCCCTGCTATTGATAATCCTTTCATGTGCTTTAGAAGTTGATTACCAAATCCAAAACAAACAGTTTGTGCTCCAAAATCTGAGTGGTAAATGGGCAGTAGAGACAAGGAGTTCTTGGTGACTGTATTCAGCACCCCATGAAATAGGGTCTAAAGTTAAAGGAGTGAGATCTTGAGGTCAGGATTTCCAGGACCATATACACCATTACATTGGCTTTCTGATACAGCTTGCTTGAAATTTTGGCCTCAGTCACTGAAGAGTACAAATTAATACGTTCATGTCTGGATGTGTGATGCTCGAGTTCAGATTGCAGAGATGGCAGGGCACCTACAGCCATTCTGTTTTTTCCTTTGGGCATGGAAGGAGTTAGCATTTGTATCAGACTTCCAGATGAGAGATGTAGTTTCTGTGTGTATGCATGGTATTTTGCCAAAAAGAAACCTTCTTATCCAGCTAGATGAAAAGAAAATGGAAAACGCCTTTGGATTAAATTTGGGCAATAAAAATAGAGAGATGGGCTTCAGCAGCCGGCTCTGCTGTATGAAAATAAGAACGTACCAGAACGGGGGCCTGCCTCTGTCCTTTACTGTAACTTGGCACAGTTAATGTAGTTGGTTCTTGCACTGAACTTGACTTTCACCTATAAGGCCTGTGATTCCTATGGGCATAGTGACTGGATAAAGCAGCATTATAATTTTCAGGTATCTCCGCTGTTAGTGCTTGTTCTCTTGTGGCTAGTTCACCTGGAAATGACTTGGCAAATATCCTAATTCTTAGTCCAGTTGCTTGCTTTTCCCTCTAGCATAATAAATGCATTTGATGCGTGCCAGCCTTCTTCTGTTTTGAAGATGATGATGGCCTTTGCTGCTGTGTTTTATGCCATTGTCTTGTCCCTACCATGTTTCATGGAAGAGAAGTGATGGGGGAGGGAGAGGAGAGCAATGATTTCCTTCCTGAAACCTCCTCTGGGCACTTCAGCTACAGGGAACTGAGCCTATAGCTGTGTTGGCAGCTGCTTAGCTGTTGCTGCTGCCAAAAATGCAAGGGCTCAGCCTGCCACGTCTTTGTTTCAGTAGCATTTCCTTCCTCTCTTCCCAATACAGATGCCAAATACAGCATTTGAGGAAAACATATGATGATCTGCCAAGGTTGCTGCTCCAAAGTGTACTTCATGCTCGCACTGCCAGTGATACCATTCTTTTGTGGCCATGCCTGCTAGAGTAACTTAGAGGGCAGGTTGCATTTCTGGTGGCTGTGCTCCCTTTTTGAACACCCTGAGCTATAAGTTAGAAACAACCATTAATGAAGTATGTTCCAATTGCTCTCTTCTCTCCTTCCCCCACTCCCACTTGCTTTTTTTCTTGGAAAAAGGTTGGAAAGAGGGAGCATGTTAGGAAGCAGTTTGTCATGGTGTTCTGTCACCAGTTACTATTTTCTTTTTAATGTTAAACAGTGCTTAAATGTGTTCAGTATCACAAAGAAGCTTGAAACTTTAAGAAGTGAAAAGACTTTCCATGTTTGTCGTACTTTTCCCAGATTATAAGGTCTTGCCGCTCATTGCACGGGCTGCAACTGCTGTCCCTTCATGGCAAGAGATGGTAGTGTTTAAGCATTTATTTTGTAGACTGCTGATAAGATGCAAGTTGAATCTCTTAGTTTTGTTCCATGCTGCTGCTGCTGATGTAGAAACAACAGGACCCTGTTAGCTTCAGGTGATGCTGCAGGCTGAACCCCGTCTGGTACTGGTAAGGGACTGGCTTCTTGCACTGATTGCATCGGTGAGGCAAGTGCCTGGGAGCGCTGCTGGTGTGCTTACTGCCTCCATGGTTATTAGAGGGGATTGGGAAGCTATGCCACATTGCCGTTATCCCACTGCTGCTCAGATTCTGGGAATAGGAGCCTGTAATTACTGCAAGCCTATGAACATAAAAGGCAATTGTCTTTTTTATCACCTGTCAAAACTGTGAATGTATTTAAAGCTCTGAATGTTAAACTTAGTTATTGTAACCTTCTGTTTTGAAGTGTACTGCCGAGTCTCTAGGACTTCCTCAACATCTTCACGTCTCTGGAAGTTGTCCCTGTGAGACAACTTCCATCTGGTGCTGGCCGAACACAGCTCAGCACCTTGAATTGGTTTTCAGCCCGTATTATCTGGCTTCCACCACCAGCAGGGCTGAAATGAACTACTGGCAGAAAATGAATTATCAGCACATAAGTACTGCTGGTCTTTGCTGAGACCATACAGTAAGAACTGGATAAAATTCTGGGCTGTCTATGGGATTTATGCAGCAGCCACTCTAGTGTGGCAAGGGAACCAGTCTTCTGTGCCCAGTGTGAGAAACCCATCCTTTTAAAACATCTGAGTTTGTGTCTTCATGTCCAGTTTGGAATGTTTTAAAAGCCAAGAAATTGGAAACAGTCTCCTCTTGTTGTTGGAGGCTATTGTTATGAAGTGTGTAACTGTCGTCCTTCTCTGGATAGAACTGTCCTAAATCAAAGCATCTCCATTCCCTCCTCTGCATCTGGATTGCTTCTTGCAGCCACTTCCTCCCCCCTGTAAAGCTGATCGTGATCACTAACAGCGTGAGTGAGTAGCCCTCCACTGCCTGTTCTGTGCCCAGCATCCTCAGCCAGGCGTGTCCCGGAGGAAGATGAGGCTGTTGCCTTTTTCTCTCCATATTGCTCTAGTATCCTTCTGTAGATCTGGAAGTAGCAAAATGTCTCACTATAACACAGGTCTTTTGATCTCGAGTTGGGTGTGTAATTGCTTCTGGATCATATGTTCCCTGTCTCCTTCAGTGGGAGGAGCTGTATTAATAATCCACTCTGCGATCAGCTGAGTCTTTACTATTTTGGGGGGGCTGTTTCTCACAAAATAATGCAGATCCTCTAGTCAGATTTGAAAAGCTGCACTAAATGTCCTCGTTTGCTTATGCATCCGTTTCCTCACAGCAAAATTTCTTGATAGATAGGAGCAACAGGCCTGGTGTTCAGAACACAAAACAGTAAATGGATAGCAGCAATGGCAGTTCTTGTCTGCAAAAATCTGTGGTGAAACCATGGTAATGTATTGTCATAAATGAAGTTTTATTACAGCCATGTCAGAATACTATCAAAAGAACAAGTGCTACTGTCTGTTTCCATGGAGATCTTTCCTGTTCCCTGGGGAGCCGAGGAATCGCGTGGTATTGTGCAGCTATGCCAGCTGCAATTAGGCAAGCACGCTGCTTGAGAAATACACATGTGGACACCCAGCAGTCACTGGGGACAACAATGGCCAAAGGTGTACACCATGCTAACAGAGGCTTCTTCAAATGCCACTAATTTTCATATATTCAAAACTAATGCAGTGCGGTGAGTTGAACCAGGTTTTATAAGAATGCTTAGGCTCAGAGAGAGGAAGGTACAGAATCGAGGGGGTGACAGAGGTGCGCAAGGGAAGAGGACAGGGGAGGTGTAAAGAGCTTATTAGCTTACTGATGAGGGGTATATGCATATGCTTGATCAGCAAGTAGTTAACTGCTTATTTCTTACTTCGTGCACATACCAGACTTCTCGGTGTTTGAGAGAAGAGGGGTATGTTTTCTTGTTTTCTTAGGTTAGACCTTTGCTCAAATGCCCTAAGCAACTTGGCCTAGAAAGCCCCATTTACTACTGGTAGGGTTCTTTAAGTCAAGTTGCTAATTCAGTTGTTCTTTAACTTAGGGCCAGGGAACTTTGATTTTTATTCTTTTTTTTTTTTTTTTTTTTAATGATTAATTTTAGTGTTGTTTGGTATTTGTATTCGCTTGATGTACTAATTAAATTTAACACTACCTCTTGCTATAGCAGAGCCTGCAATATATCTCAGGCATGTATTTGGACAGTTTCTTAACTTCTTTTGTTTAGCTACAATGTTTACTTCTATTACAACAATAGAAAGTGGTGAATCATTCATTGCAGTAAATGCTTTAAATTTGCACGTGTTTGCATCAAGCTGTATTTGGATGAAGATGTTGGTGCCCTGAAGCACGTTTATACGCCTGTTTACTCCTCCCCATGCTGAAGTGTGTTCCAAGATGTTGAGCAGCCAATTGCAAGTTTGAGGGGATTTTCTTTCTTTTTTTTTTTTTTTTTTTTTTTTTCTTTTGGTAAAATCCTGCCCAGGTTCCTTGGCATCTTCATAGAACAGCAGCAGCAAGTACTGGAATGGTTTTCCAGGCTGGTGAGAGTCATAGCTGATAACGGATTCATCTTACATGTAGTAACTAAGCTAGGTCCCTTCAAGCTGTGTGGGAAGTACAGTTGGCTGATGAGCAAAGGAATATTAATTTCCTTTTCTACCTAGGGTGCTGTTAAAGCAATCACATTTAGCAAAAATGTGCCAGTATGCTGCTCTGGAAATCGTAGTGTACTGCTTTGCTTGTCTTACTCCTCCAGAGGACATGGCATGGTTACCAGAAGGTGGTGTTGCCCTCAGCCTTGATCTCCTGGGCTTGGAAGTAGAATATGCTGCTTTTCTGTGCCTGTCTGCTGAAGACTGAGGTGTTGGGTGGTGTGTTAACCAGCACAGTGATTTGAGAGAGCATTCCCTGAAGAAGTCCTTCCTGAATCAGGTGAAAGATACTGCAGTCTTGCAAAGCTGTTCCACTTCCATGTAGAGTTGTACACCTCCTTTGAATCAGCTCCTGTGTAGGTTTGTAGGCAACGGGTGCTCAGGGAGACTGAGGGGTTTGGATCTTCTCTGCTGCATTTGTTCCAAGATTCGGGTTACTCCCAGATGATGGCCTGTTAGGATTGAGAGCACAACCTGTAAAGCTAAAATCCTTAGGGCTACACTGTAGTTGTGAGGTGGGGGAAATATATCACGACATGGAGATCGAGTGGAGCAGAACTGAACTGGATTGACTGACTCGCCTTACTAGCACTGGAGACTGATACGAAGAAATCAGAAGGTCTCAGGTTCTGACGTGTCACGAACTATGAGTTAGAGGGTGACGAGTGTTGTGGTGATGATGTCACCCGACCCAGTGAATATTAGCTGTGAGCATCCATATGCTCGCTTGACCTGGTGACATTTGGACAGCTGATTGATGTATGACATTATAGGGTCTCTTTCTGAAACACAGTGAACAGCCTCATCCATTTAAAAAAATATTATTTCCTTATTAAGTAGCAAGAAATATTATCAGTCTAAGTAATGAACTAATTTCCATTAGATTATTGTGCTTGCTCTTGGGTAGGGTTTGATTTTATTTTTACTATGATATTTTAAGAGTCCAATTTAGCTTTCTGTGCATATAACCATAAAACTACTTCTCTTTTAGCAAGATGTTGAGTTGAACCCGGTAATGTTGAGGAACCTGGATAAAGGCATGTTTACAGGGGTTAGGGAGCGTGGATTCCTTTTTGCCCTTTAGACTGTATTTGTCTATAAATACCGCTGGTTTTGCACATGTCCAGTCACTTGACTCCTATTAACTTGCTCATGGAGAACGCTGCTTCCATCCGCTGCTGTTCTGCGTGTTGGAGTAGCCATTCCAGAATCCCAGGCACATCTGGAGAGACCAGGCTCATGTGTACAGTCTGTCATGTGTTCATAATAAATACCATATAAATACACTGTACATATACCATATGTTTCATAACTAACTTGAAAGTGAATGTCTACCTGTATAACTGGTGGAAGCTGTTGGACAGGACTCATCTTGTGGACTCTTTTGGGGAGGGTCAGCCTTTTCTAAGGGGTCTGCTGTGCCAGGCGCACTGTTTGTCAGTCTGACTTGTAGCTGGACAAGCGCTCCCAGGCTCTGAGGACTGCGGATACTGACTGGCAGTAGACACTAGACTAACTAGACTAACTGCTCTTTGAATAAGTGATTGAATTACAGTTCTTGCATTTGAAGGCTGAGTTATTGTCTTAGTAGGAAAAGTTTTACTGCAAAAAACTTAGTTAAGCTGCACACCTGCAGTTTGTTGCTACAGCATCATCCTTTTTTGCATAGAACCTGCAGAGCTCAGGTGTGTCTGTGTCCCCAGAGGTTAGATGTAAGCAGTCGCTCAGAAGACTTGCAGAATGCATGGGACCTTTATTAACACTGATAACTTCAATCCTTTTGCATTCAAAAAGTGACCAGAGAATTTGTCTGAAAGTAGAAAGCCGTAATTAGGAGACAACACTGAGGAGTTTCTTCCTCCCCCCAGTACATGCTTCTTTCTTATATGTCTATATGCCTATGCAGTCTTTTCTTGTATATATGTTAAATGAATATGCTGTCTGGCTTGTGGCATGTTTTTAGGGATGCTATGGTCAGATCTCGATATATGTACTTCCTCCAAGCTGAAGAGGATTTCCTTGCAGGTTCCAGTAATAACAGGTTTTAAGAAACTGCAGGAATCATGGTTCTTGTAGTTCTGGGTGCAGGCAGAGTTGCAAAGCATTTCAAGTCGATTCTGACCAAAGCTGTTCTGACTGACACAAATACGCTGCTGTCATGCTGGGCTGACTGGAATCTACTCCCTAACGCTGCGTTTGTCACTTGTCTGTTGCAGGGATTTACCTCAGTATGGGCAAAAGCAGTGGCAATCCTATTTTGGTCGAACATTCGACGTTTACACCAAACTCTGGAAGTTTCAACAGCAACATCGGTAAGGGGATGTAGTAGGCAGACGTGTTCTGTGGATTTAAGTGCAACTTTTAATCTCTGGTATGCCTAGGGGGCCCCAGTTAAGACTGAGATTTCACTGTGTTATTCAAGCATGAAGGGAGGGAATAGTCGCTTCCTGTAGCGCTCACAGTCTAATGAATTAAAATGTTGCCGTATTTTCGGTGTGACTTTTTCAGCAAACCCTTTTGCTCTACTTGAATGCATGTTGCTTTAATATATTACCAAGGAGAAGCTGGGATGATGGCTTCTGCAGTGCAGACCCATCTGGAATGGTGTGAAGCGTCTTGCTGCAGCGTGGGCTCTGATCTTTCACACCTTACATTGCCTGCATAGTCTGAGTGTTCTCCTGGGAAGTTGTGACCTTTTGTTATGTGTATTTTGTGCAACATACTTATGTCTAGCTCTTGAAAGTTTATGCAAGATAAATGGTCCTTGTTCTGGTGTGTGTATGCAGTGCTGTTGGCTCTGTGAGGGGCTGCTACTGGGAATGCCACACCAGTAATGAAAGCTGAATTTGGCCCTACAGTGGCTCTTTGTCTTGTCTTGTGTGATGTTCTGAGAAATTCCGCAATGCCTTTTAATCTTTCTTTTCTCTCTTGCGAAATAGACAAGTATTGGACAATCGGTATGGGTTGAAGCGGTGGCAAATTGGGGAAATTGCTTCCAAGATTGGGCAGCTCTATTACCATTATTAGTAAGTAAGCACAGAAAAGGAATGCAGTGCTAGTGGCAACTCCGTGCCAAACATCTGGATACTCAGTCAGGAGAAATGAATTTATCAGTTGAGTCATGATGCCTGTTTCTGCATGAGAAGGCCCTTGGGACTGCATGGGGGTGCTGCAGAGAAAGGCACTGGTGAGCGCCAGACCACGTTGCTAGTCACGTTGATACTGCCTAAGGACTTACCTGCTACCTCAAAATGTCTCTAAGTCTTCCATGCGTGCTGCATTCGACTCTTGTGCAAAAGTGTCATTGACAAATTTGGGAGCTTAATGTTCCTTTAAACTTCTGAATTAACCTGTCACCTGTACATATGGGCACAAGACGGTCAGATTTGATTGTTATCTGAAATGGAATCCAAGCTCTGAAATCTGTCTTCCCAGCAGGCACAAGGAATGAGAGTCTGGCTTTCATACGATGTTACTTGCGGAGGGAGTTTTGCCACTGATGCACAAGATGGTTGAGGGGGCAGGAAGGGAGGGTTTGGCAAGGATTTCCATCTGAAGCAGTGAGCTAATCTGGTCCTTCCTCCACAGCTTGCGCACTTCAGAAACCAGCTATCTCAATGAAGCTTTCTCCTTCTATTCAGCAATTAGGCAGAGGTCATACTACTCCCAAGTCAACAAAGAAGACAGGTATGTCTGAATGAATGCCCTTGTTTTTTCAAGACTAGAATGGTGTATGAAAGCAGCAAATAACTATAAGCTGTAGGATCATGACTGGGATACAATCAGTGTTGTTGGAGGAATTTTCTTTTAATCCTCCTGCCATGATTAAAAACCTCAGCATAAATAAGAACTCTGCTGTGTGACTGCGGGAATATTCTATTATCTGGTCCTGGCTAGAAAGCTATTAGCCCAAAAGTTTTGTCATTTTGAGTCCTGAGCAGTATCAGCCCTGGGGCCTAGTGTGCTGTGGCTGGAAGAAGAGTCAGTTGGGCTAAAGGAGAGGAACCTGTTTGCTTCTAACCAGGCTTTTCAGGGGACCATCAGTTAGTACTGCAGTACAACAGCCCTCTGTAACTGATTGTGACAAAGTCCGAGAACTTCAGGAGGCATAACATCTTCCTTTTTAAGATGCTGTACTGCGAAAGGTACACTCAAAGCAGGGCTGTCTCGTGGCAGTGCAGAAGACGTGCTGCCTGCCAAGAACATAGATATAAATAAGAATAGGTAGAGAACTCTGTTCCTATCTTACATTCTAGCCAGTAAACCTGGGTTCCCTCATCAAAGTAAAGGTCTGAAGTCATCATCAAGATAAATGCAGAAGGTTAGTTAGGGAGCTTCCTGCCAGGCATTCAAGGATCTCTGGACTTAAACTAACTGCATGTCTCTAGTCTTGATGATATCTAAATGCACCTGTGTGCCACAAAAAGGTGAAAGTTTCCCTGCTCTGTTCTGATACCTGTTGATCCTATTATCTTCTCTCTTAAAAAAAAGTCTCTGCATTTCAGTCTGAGTGCTTGAGCTGTTTCAGAGAAGGTAGGATTGACCAAGCATGTTTCTAGATGCTGTCAGAAGATTTTAGAAATGGATGAGTAATTATGGGCTATGCTGACTTGCAGATCTCTAAGTTGTCCCAGGTGGGTGAACTCTGAGCCAGCTGTGATACCGTGTGATGCAGTGGGGTCAGATATTGCCCACGAACTGTCAAAAGGTTTGAAGAGCCAGCTATTATATCTGACTCCCATGCCTGTTCTCATGTAAGGAGTCTATGGGGAAGGGGGAGGCTGTGGCTTTCTTGATGTATATTTTATGTCCCTGTATTCAGTCTTAAACCTCTAAGCAGCCAGGTAGCTATTGATCTCTATGTGAATTCAGTTAGAACTCTTAATCTGCAGAGTGTTCAGCCTTGCTCTAGTCTTAAACTCCTCCTCGCCCTTACCGTTGTTGCCTACCTGTGTTCTATTTTAATCTCCAACTTGGCTGTGGTGTTTTTGTTGTGTTTAGGCCTGAATTAGTGGTTAAGAAGCTGCGTTACTATGCAAGGTTTATAGTGGTTTGTCTCTTGCTCAACAAAATGGATGTTGTAAAGGACCTTGTAAAGGTATGTTAAAATGAGGATAAAGGTGCTAAGGGGTGGGAGGTTGCTGGTTATTCAGTGCTTTTCTCCTAATGAAGGAATCCATAATATAGTCCATTTCAGCTGAAATATCACTCATTAGATCTATGATGATAGCTGCTGCTGCTGTGGAGCTTTTTTTTTTTCTCATTTAATTTATTGTGCTGTTGGATGCCACAGAAGGAAGGAATAACATGGCTAGAGCTATGGAAAGATTCAATATGATGTAAACATTTGGCTAGAGAAAAACTTTACAAACTTGTATAGTTAGTTAGGAATAAACTGTAAGATGCATGTTACTCACCTGGAAATGTGGGGATCATCTGATAACTCGGAGTACATCTTCATTCCTGTAGTAGATTTAAGACATTGGTGGAATCTGCCCCTGCGAGTCTTCGTGACACACTGTTGCTTGGAAAGCCAGTGTCTCCAAGCCTGATGTTGAGCTTATTTCTCTTCCCTTCCAAACTGCAGTCGCTCTGTCCCATGTCTAGAACACATCTTGAATAAATTTTGCACCTTCCAGAGACCCATCAAAATAAAACCTTGCTAAATTACATAGATATTACTATGAAATTGGAGAGGCTGGATCTGTATATGCCTCTGCTGTGGGAGTAAAGCACCGAGTGCCTGTAAAACAAGTCTTTAGGTACAACAAATAGAGTAGAGCCAAATGTCAATCATTGCTTTTCTAGTATATCTGACACCTAATGTAATGAATATCTTCTGTGAATTGGACATTTAATAGTGACACTTTAAGCTCAAAAGGTTTGGTAGCATTGTTTGAACACCAAGTAAAAATATTCCAATAGCTGCAGCCTGGATAGGGAGGTACCCTCCAAGTACAACAAAGGAACAGCATGCTTCTCCTGACAGCATATGCTTCCCAAACCACTCTAACAACCTTGCTGCAAGCAGCTTCTGGTATTGACAGTTTTGTGTAGGTTGCATTACTGTCTTCGTGTCTGAGCTTACTTGAACTGCTAGCTTAGCTTAGTAGCAGCTAAAAAAGCCACACCATTCACTTTCTCAATGTATTTAAAGTTACTTGTAAGCTGAAATTTGAGTCCTTGGTATCCATAGCTTATGGTAATAACCAGTGACATAGCTGTATGTGAGTGGGATAGTTATACTTAACTCCAGATATTCTTTGCATTTGGACCTACTTAAAAGACACTTTGCATTGCCAAAACTCAGTGTAACATTGGCATTCTGTCTCCTGAAAGAGCGCGTTTTGGCTGGCATGTTAGTCATAAGTGTGCTGCATATGTTCTCAAGTAATTTATTTTTTTATTATTATTCTTAAAGGCCAGCACAGCTAAGCAAATTGTGTAGTTACTGCCTGCCTGTTAAGTTTAAGAAGTGATTATGTCTGTCTTCGAACTCTTTATATCAGGAGCTGTCAGACGAAATTGAAGACTACACTCATCGTTTTAATACTGAAGATCAGGTGGAGTGGAACCTGGTTCTTCAGGAAGTGGCAGCGTTTATTGAGGTGAGAATACTATTCCCTTTTAGTTGTCAGTTTAAAAGTAAAATTTTGACTTGTTCACCAAAGTGTTCCTGTATCACCAGCTCTGTGGTAGGCAGGTGTGCCACGTGCAGGGACAGTATTCCCGTCCAATTTAATCTAATCATTAAAATGTGTTCACAGTAGCATAACAGTGACAGCCATTAAAGTGTCTGAAGAGTCAGACCTGGTCATGTAACATACTAAAGACAGAAGCATGAAGCTGAGGTACTTTTGGTCACCTTATTGTTTTTATTCTTGGTGTTCAGAAAATGGTGGAATTAAAAGCATAGTAGTTATCGTGGTCAATGTTTTGGAGAGACTGCCAACTCTAGTTCTGTTGTTGTGGAAGCCAGTCCAATTTGCTGATGTTTTGATTGTGTTTCAGAGTGTACTTTATTGAAGTACTGGGCTATTACACTGGCGGTGTATAAGCAGTATATGATGGGAAATATGGTGTAATCATGGCAGTTAACTGATAGGCTGTTAGCATAGTTGTAATTCGATCAACTTCTAAAGTTTGTTAAAAGGAAAATAAATCTGTTTATTCTGTCAAATGAGACAGTGTTCTACTTTCCTCGTCTTGTACAAGATGTCACTATGTAACACGAATATTTATTTAAGTATTGCCAGACTGGATGGCAGCATTATCATTTGCTCATCTCCTTTGCTATTTATTTCTAGGAAGCGAAGGCGAACTAAAATAGTGCAGGATTCTTCTGTATTGTAGGAATGTTTAGTTTATTTTGTGTGAATTCGTAAGGTTGTTGATGACATTTGCTTCCTCAGGTATAGAAAAGCTGAAGCAGAGCTCGTGTCATTTGAGGAAGTATGTTTGTCTGTTTGCTGTACCTTCATGTACTTGTACCATGTATTTGCTTGCAGTCCCTAAGAGCTGTTGCTTTTCCAGGTGGTGAGGCATTACTCTGTAGTCTGCATACAAATATATGTATGGCAAATTAATTTTAAAAATCTGCCTCAGTTATGAAATGTTTACTGTAAGTGAAAAGACCTTTGGACTTTTCTCTGACTGCAAATCTGTATGTTTTCTTGAATTCCTGATTTATTCTGGTTGCTTTTTTTAGGCAGACCCTGTCATGGTTTTAAATGATGACAACACCATTGTAATCACCTCTAACAGGCTTTCTGAAACAGGAGCTCCGTTGCTAGAGCAGGGGATGATAGTGGGACAGCTTGCTCTTGCAGACGCACTGATTATTGGAAACTGCAACAACCAGGTAAAAGAAATTCCAAGGACTTGGGTTTGTATCTTGGTAGTTCACAGTCCTTCCCTCTTTGACATTCCTTCTGATCATACCACAGTGATTCCAACACAGGCAAAAATTAAAATATTTTGATTGTGATGTTTGCAGTGGCAGTGAGAAGAGGTTCTCAGAAATAAGAGCTAAAAATGAAATGTTAGATATTAGACCTGTAGTACTGACCTCTTCTTGCTTATATTCCATGTCAGTTAAGTAGATACAATTGACTTTCATATACTGCATTGTTCTTAACATTAAGCATGAGAGCCCTCTGGGGTATGTCTAGAAAAAGCTTGACTTAGGCTTTCACATGACGTATTCCAGCTTGTTGCACCTTCAGTTGCAACACGAAGGGGTTTTCAAAAGACATTCAAGATCTTGTTTTTTAGATGATGATGATAGTGAAGTTGTACAGACTTCATGACTTCTCTCTGAGCTCTTTTTTTCAGGTAAGCAAGGGAGTTGTATCTAAAGTACAGTTTGTGTATCTGTTTCAGATTTTGTCTAAGTTTATAGTACTTAGTGGTTTCATCACTTGATTTGTAAACACCCCAGAAGAGCCTGTAATTTGCAAAGTGGAGGTCTGTGCTACAGTGAACTGTCTTGGTAGGCCAGTAATAAATAGACTTTGTCCCCTGTGAGCTCTTCTGAAAGTCATTCACAGGTCTTCAGAGATTCAGAGATGATGCTGACAGATCCCTGAGAGACAGAAAATGGTCTCTCTGGTATGCAGTTGAATCTCTTACCTGGATAATTTCAAAGAAACAGTCTTTAATCTGTATCTGGCAGAGTAAACTGTTTGACTCTCTTGCAGGTCAAGTTCAGTGAATTAACAATTGATATGTTCCGAATGCTACAAGCGCTTGAAAGGGAACCGATGAATTTAGCTTCACAAATGAACAAACCTGGAATGCAGGTAAATTCCATTTCAGTGACAAACCTGACAACAGATCTTAACTGGGGTTTGTTTGTTTATTTTGTTTTAAGTGGTGTACTCCTTCAGTATTGTTACTGCGCAGAGCAGGTTAGTAAAGCTGTTGTAACTCTTGCTAGAAGTTAGTGAAGAGTAGCTCAAACCCGTGGAGTTTGATCCAAGTACTGTCTTCCCCCTCCCCCCTTCTTTTTTTTTCCCTCCTTAGCAAACCTTGAATAGTGGAAAAAATAGCAGAAATGAATATTTGGGCATCATGTCCCAAATGGTTTACATTGGTCTGGCCAAGGTACTACTGAAGGGGTGCCATGTCTGTCCTCGTCCATATGTGCTCACCCCTTCCTTTGCACTCTAGCAGTCATGCAGCCAGATAAGTTCATCAGCTTGCGAAGTCACCTGTAAGTTAAATATCCTCTTCAGAGAAAGCATAAACAATATTTTATCTGGAGGCAAAAGGAAATATCTAGATTCTAATTTATTTAATTGAGATGAGGGGTGAATTTTTTCATTCTCTGCTTGGGTGATTCTTTAGAGAGTAAGAAAGATTTAGGTAGCAAATTTAAGTGAGGCATGATATAAAGTTCTGGTTCAGATGCTGTACATCTTGCTTTACTGTGTGGTTGGAAATGGAGCATGGGCAGGCCATTTGTGTGGGGAGTGCGTTGAAGATGAACATTCTAATAAATAGAAACTTAGAGGGTTATGAATGCTTTGATAATGTATGGTTCTTGGGGTTTTTTTGTGTTTTGTTTGTTCTTTTTAACAGGAGGCAACGGAGAAACCAGCTAGGCGGGAAAACCCCCATAAATATCTACTTTATAAACCAACTTTTAGCCAGCTATATACATTTTTAGCAGCATCATTTAAGGTTTGTGAAATTGATTAATTTATTTGTAATAGAAAAAGACCCAGAATGGTATGTGACACTGAATGAAATGCGGTTGAGATAATATTTTCTACCTCAAGATAATTAAGCCTTTTTGGCCTTCTTAAAACGTTTGATATGAACTTCAGAGAGGATGGAATTATTATAGACATGTGTAATTTGTGTAGTAAAGGCAAATCTGTTGACTGCTGTGAAGGGAAAGAAAAAAACTCATTTTAAGACAGAAGCCCAGCTTGCTGTTCTACAGAAGTTATGATATCATTGCTAAAATAGAGCCATCTTCAAAGCAAAGCTTGAACAACTCCTGTGTGCTAGCCGTCAGTATCAAGAGTGGTGCATGGCAATACTATGGAAAGCCTTAAGTAATGTAATTTAATCATATTCAGTAATTTATTTGTGCCTGTGTATGTACACACACACCTATATATATATATACACATTTGTATTTATATATACAGCTAAATATATAACAGTAAGTGTTTCCTTATATGAAGTATATCTATTTCCTATACATATATTATATAGGAAATATTTCTTGAGATAAGAGATCTGGAAAACAGAAATGTCTTAAGAGTATTCTTCTACTTCATGTTGTGCCAAACACAATCCAAGGTCAGGGAAGTATGTCAGGAAACTGTTGCTCTCAAGCACTGTATGCCTGGTAGGCCTCTCGTTCTGTATCCCATTTGAACTGTGTATCTCTCCTGCACGTGCTATATTTTTATCTGCCTGTCTTACTTTGTTACCCACCACTCTCTTCCATGTAAGTAATCTTTACATTTGTAGACTTTTTTTTTTTAAATACAGCTGCTGTGCTTATTTAATAAAGTTGCTGGGCTCATTATGCTTAATTATGAGTGTACAAAGTCAGCAACTTAGAATTTAATAGTAAAGAGAGAATATGAATCCTGTAAAGAAACAAGTTTCAGTTTGTTTCAAGAAACAACTGTAAAGCAACAGCTGGTGAGGTGAAGGAAAGTGCATCCTTACTGCTTAGAACTTTGGGTGCCTGCATACTCTGCCTTCTGCAGAAATTAAAAGCATCTGTTTCCTCCTGCGGACAGCCCATTAGAAAGGTGGAAAATAGAGTTCTTTTACAGGTCTATACAGAAAGCTGGATGTGTTGTGCTTGTCCAGCTGAGAAGCATCAGGGGGAGGAGACAGATGTTGCAGATTCTGGGGTATTTGGAAACAAAGAACTTCCTTTAGGATCCCAAATTGTTTGGGAGTTAGGGCCTGCAAGGACCTTGGCAGCTTTTGGTTTCCATACCTTGGAAAGGCTCAGATCTGGCTAGGTAGTAGGTCAGTCTATGTGGAAGCAGATGCTTATTTAGTGCTGCTCGAACCTCTAATATCAGCCTAGAGGTCTGTGTGGTTAAAAAAAAAAACAAAAAGTGTGAACACACTATCAGTTTACACTTTTGTCTGTGTACTTGACTATTTGAAGGGGCGTATGTGGTGGGGAAGGGTATATGCACATAGGAAGAATGGAGTGAAGGGAAGCCAGAAACAGGAGTAGCACAACCTTAAATGGCGGTGGTTTTATCAACGTGATGATTGAATATTAAAATAAAGTTATACATTTCTTCTCTTGCCACTCTTCTCTTATTTGAATTCCAGGAGCTGCCTGCAAACAGTGTACTGCTGATATACTTGTCTGCCACGGGCGTGTTTCCATCAGGTCGTTCGGATAGTGAAGGTACAATAAAGGAATGCTCCCTGTCATGAACAGGGCTTGAATTCTCTGTATGTTCCAGGACAAGTGACCAAGAAAGATGTCACAAAGCTCCTTTTAAAAGACAAGTCAATTTTATTCTCCTGTCTACTTAGTAAGATAGCCTTTTTCTTCCACAAACAGTAGTTAATTCCCTGTGTTTTAAGTAGTGTGCACTAACCTGAGGCCTTTTCAAAGGACATATCCAGTTTTTGATGCATCTGAAGTATTAAAAGCTTCACCAATTTTGAAGACCACATGGCTCAATTGATGCATCAGTGCGAAGTTAATAAAATGGCTAAATGGCACTTTGTGATTCTTTCCAATCTCCAGAACTATGAGAACATATGGTTGGGAGATGGGTGGTAAAAGGGCTGAAGCGTCTGCAGGGACTCTTCTATTTGCACGCTTGTTAACCTGACAATTCAAGCCCTTCTCATGATTTTTGACAATTCCCCTCACCTCATCCTCCTGTTCTTTGCAATCTAGCAGAATATTTGGATGCAGCTGCAATCTAAAAGCTGAAAACTGGTTGGCTGAAGTAGACACAGTCAAAAGATATGTTTCTATAATCTAAGGGGGGAAAAAAAAAAGAAAAGTTTTTAACATCCTAAATATTGTACACGGCTCATCTGTTTGCGACTTGCATTCCTTTATAAGATGCATGCCTTGTCCATCCCAATGCATGATTTATAGAGCTCTCAAAATGTTAAAGGAAAAAAAATCCCTGTCAGCTTTGGATTGTGGCAGTGATTTTTTTAAAATGCTTTTAACATTTTACTTTTTGCTGTAACCTGGTGATAGGCTGTAACTAAACAGTGTTCTTTAAAGCCTGTATTATGTCCACTTTGCTGCATGCATTGTTTGAGCTTAACACCTTACTGTAGAGGCATCCAGGCTCTGTCATCTGAAGAGCTGCACGGTCAGACTTCAGTTTTCATTAAATGAATCCCATTACAACTGCATTCTTTTAATAAGGTAGCGTAGTCTGCACAGACCAAAAAGTTCTACCTTTATTAAAAGGGAGAGCAGCTGCAAGTTGCATCATTTATCGCCTGTAAGCCATTTGCATTTGACAGTTCACATGAGACATGTGTAACAGTGCTAAATTAATGTATGTTCTGTTCCTAATTTTGTATTCCCAAAGCTTCCCTTTAAAATGGAAAGGTGTCTTATGTATCCAAACCTGAAAAAAAATTGCATTTGGTGGCCAAATATGAGTCAACCAACTCTGCAAACGTATAACAGAATGAGGAAATCCTAATACTATATTTTACTGATGTTAGTGACATTTCATACCCATATCAGTGCCAGAAATATTTCCTGGCATCTCTAGCACTTCTTTTTTTTTTGTGTAGGATTTGATACTTTTATAGCCATTGCTTTAATCTTTGCTCTCCATCAGACAGTTGGGCAGGTAGCTTGGTTGTGCAAACTTGGCAGAGTATTTCTTAGCTTACCTTAGGAACACGTTATAGTAATTTTACAAAGGTATTAATTTTCCTGGATGAAATGTGTAATGAGTTTTAATCTTTTTTGCTATGTAGTGTAACAAGAGCCGATATTTGGATCTTTTGTATTATGTTTGTGGATAAATAGTGAATAAATAAATTAGAAGTTATGAAGTTGCATTGCTTGCTTCTATTTGATAGATGCTGAAAGTACTAAAAATGCATAAAATTGAGTATGTTGTTAGTGAAGCCTCCACATTCCTGCATCCCCTCCCTATAACTACAGTAGTTCAGGTTCACTTAGCTTTCTGGGGTTTGTGGTTGCTTCCTCCCTTTCATACAATCATTAAATCCGTAACAGAGGTGAGTGACCTGTACTCATTTCAGCTTTCTTCTTGCCATGTGTAGGTCCATATGATTTTGGTGGTGTTCTGACAAATAGTAACCGGGACATTATAAATGGGGACGCTATCCACAAGCGAAACCAATCTTACAAGGAGATGCACTGGTAAGTTCTGTGAGTGTGACAATGCAAATTCAGAAGCATTTGTCTTTAACAGGGGAAATGCATCAAAGTGTCTTGAATTCCAACGCTTCAGTGCAGGACATCGTAATGTAGATTTGCTTGAATTTGAACAATGACATGAATATGCAACTCTAAATGATGATTTAAATACTCCAAAAGTATTACTGTGACTTAACATAAATTCTTTTTATTACTGGAAAGCTTCAAATTAATGGCAGATGACTTTTCAAGCAGATAAACATCTCTTGTTGGGAAAGAACTAATAAGTCCAATAGCTCATGTTACAGAGAACACCAAATTAGTTTTGCAGTTACTTTCCGAGGATGAATCTGGGGACTGGGGCATGAGGAATGTGCTTGCTTTTTATCTGGACATGGGCAGCTGTGTGTCTGAGAAACTTGTGCACTGTCACAATTTTGCAGCAATTCTAGTGCTCTGTGAAGCATCCCTTTCTCTTTTCAGTCTTCACCCTGGAGATCTCTACCCTTTCACAAGAAAGCCCCTGTTTATCATTGTGGACTCCTCAAACAGTGTCGCCTATAAGGTAAGGCTCTTGAAGGCAGCTACTCGTATGATAGGATACAGTGTCAACCCCTAGTTAGCTTACACTTTTAACAGGCTATTTTTTTAAACAGTTTATATTCAGTCTTTCTTTTCTTTTGAGGTTGTGCATGCTAGTCAGGATCTGATCCTATGAATAGGAACAAGAAGCAGAAGCACATGAACAGCCGCTCATTGGAAAGTAATAAATCCTCCTGGAGGGAAAAAAGGTTCAAGATTTCCAAGGTCTCTGGTGGGAGGTTTATTTTTGTTATATACCAAAGACAAATCTTGGTGTGTGTGCGTGGGGGAGGGAGATAACTAATCTGCTTTTCTTTTTTCCAGTCATCCAACACTCAGTTGCTTTTAAGCAACAGAAGGGAGTCAAAGCATTGAGCCTGATCTTATAAAACACAGGGTGTCTGTTTCTGAAAAGTATCTGAACCAAGGAAATAACAAGACTCAAATTAGCGTCCGGTGTAACTGTAGAGTGGTATATGCTCGGACAATGAGCCTCCTTCCTAGGGTGCTATGGACTTACAGTAGAATTACTCCATGCCAAATCACCTTTGGGAATCTGCAATTCGGGTAATACAGAAGCAGGCATTTTCAATCTCAGTTGCCAGTTGCATCTGGATAGCATTACGACATTTATTTCATTCATGAATGGGATATTAAGAATGTGCTATATCTGGGGAAAGTGCCACTTCCTTATGTCTTCCTTTTTATAGCTCTGTTATTGCAGTGAGAGAAGTGAACACTCACAGCTGCATTTTGGAGGAGGAATAGGGACGTCTAGTGGCCAGATGAACTTGTTCCTTGTTCAGTATCCACAGGCTGTGTCGTTTGTTTTAAAGGCATTTGTTGGCCAGCGAGAGGTACTGAATCGGTGATCGGTGTGATTCAGTATAGGTCTGCCCTGAGACAGGGAACTTTTACCTGACAGTCTTAAGAACAACCTGGCCTCTCTCTGAGGTTTTTGGTTTGTTGTATTGTAATGCATTTCAAAGGGCTTTTTAAATGCTGCTGCATTTAACTTCACCACACTGGATTTCAGTGCAAATCTGCTTTTTATTAAATTCCCTTCCCCATTTAATGGGAGGGAAATAAAATCAGAATGGTTTACTTGTCTTTCTGAGAAAATGAGGGGTAGAGATTTATTTGCCTTTGCTCTTTCCTGATGTTCACTCCAGTATAACATCGGGGGGTGGGGGGCATTGTTTTGTTTCAGGGCAGTAACTGTGGCTTGGATTTGGGGTTTGTTTTTTTGTTTTGATTTGGTTTTTTTAATGCCTTCCTCTCTATTAGAATTGCTGAAAGACGTCAAGTGGATGAGCTCTGTAAGACAGAGTAAGGGATGCCTGGTGATCCTTAATTCAAATACAGCTCTGGACATACCAGGCTTCTGTGGACAGCCTAGAGCACAGGGTCTTTCTGAGGTGATGGATTCCCACATGTAGATTTGTAGCTCATGTGAGAATAACTGTCAAGTGTTTACAGTAGAATTTGCTTTTTGTATTATATTTAAATTTGATAATTGAATTTTCTTTAGATTTTGTGGGCACACAGTAAGCAAAAGCTGTAACTTCCATTTAGTTTCTTTTCCTTATTCTGCAATGAACTGATCATCAGTAGTGTAAAATGATGTGAAGTAGTGTAAAAACCAGAGCTGCTGGTGTGAGAGAAGTCCACCTCTGGTTGTATGTAAGGAGTATAGCAATAGGAGTTCGGGAAGTATTTCAGGACAGGATTATGGAAGTGGCTGCTAGGAGCTCTGACCCAGAGCAGAACCCTGTGGGCACAGTTGTGAGGAATCTAAAAAGAGAATGAAGAAAAAAAGAGCATGGACCCCTATTAAAAAAATATATACTCAGCATTTGAGAACACGCGTTCACCTTCACAATCTATTGCCCTTGAACCTAGGCAGATAGGTGTGCGGGGATGGGTTTAGCTGTTTTGTTTTGTTTTCAACTGAAGGTAGATGGTAGAGCGCTCAATCTGTGTTTTCTAGCCCTTGTCTGTTGTCGTCCTGTGCGTGCTTATGTGTTTGGTTCCTTGTCACCAGAATATACTGATAGTGCTGTCCTGTGGTTACCCCCTGGGTGTGTTGTGAGATGCTTTGTAGGCTCAAGTGTTGGTACAAACAAAAGTTATGTGCAGTTGTGGGACAAGTTGAAGCCAGTGTGCTGACTTTTTTTCCACATGGCTGCTCTGATCTTTTCTGATAGGACAGTCCCAATCCTGACATTTAAATGTCACTGCTAGCAATACTGGCAGTAACAGCAACCGCTCACACATCTTTTTCTACAAGCCTTTCCTGCTCTCCTGCACGCATTCTCATCCTCTCCCTCTCTCTGGAGGGCTTAAATGGTGATGACTGAAAGTAAGTCCTGCCAGGAAGTGACTTGCCAGTTTGTCAAATCAGCGGCACTTGAACAGCTTCCTCCCCTGTATATTTAGCCAAAAGTGAAAGATAACTGCAAATCAAGCATATCTACTTGAAGCCATGAATTTTTTTTTAACACTTCCATTTAAATATAGATGGCTGTGTTCTTGAAGGTTACCACTGTATATGTGGATGAAATAGTACTTTAAAATCAGTATCTTCCTGTAGCTGTGGCTGTCTGACATTGTGGTCAAATGCAAAGTCTTTAAAAAATCCAAACCAAACCAAAACCTCCAGCCAGTAAGAATGCAAGGCCTTGTCGGTGATGTGGTGTAAGTACTCAGCTTAGTAAAGCTTACATGTGAAGTGACTTATTTTGAAGATGACGAGTAGTTCTTTTTTGGAAAGAGATGTACATAGACACATTTTAAAAAGCAGCAATGTTTCTGTTGGAAAACTTGAATATTGAAGTAAAAAAACCAGAGTCAGTTCTGAAAGAAAAATGTGATTTACCCTTTTTGGAGTTGTCCATGCATGGAAAGGGACAGCACTACTTATCCAGAGGTGCTACCAACATCCAGACTACAGGGCAGGTTTTTCTGGTGCACCTTGTGGTCCTCCGCTCCAAGCCATGGCTGTAACATGCTCCTGTTCCTCTGTTGCATGTACACCCACAGCGCTTTTCTGTGGAAATGAGGAGTGGTGGTGGTGAGTGAATCCTGGTGTTCACTTGGGCTGTGGTAGGCAGTTGTGTCTGGGCAAGAGCTGAGACAGGTACCTGGAAGCTTGAGTGTCTTCTCCTCCTGGATCTGTGGTTTAGACGTAGCAACTGCCGTGAGCAGCTGTCTTCCAAAGAGCATGTTCTGTGTTAAACCCTGTAGTTTCTCCCCTTTGCAGGACTTACTAGCTATGTTGACTTACCCTCTGCTGGGACAGAGTCCAAAATGATCTCAGGTACTGTCAGTGAGTAACACCTTTCCTGAGATGTATGATTGACCCTTGGTTTTGCTTTATAGCTGTAGGCAGCGTTTAACTGCATTGTCCTTTTTACTGATGGAGTGTATGGGAAGTCTGCTTTGGTCTCTAACTGGGTGATACAAGGTAGAATTCAACGTGTGAATCTGCTCATGAATACTAAGCCTTCCTGTTACTTGAGAACACGTAACCTGCCCGTGTGCATTCAGTTCAAATTGGCCATGTCTGGGGTGATGACGCCTGGTATTTTAAATGTTTCCTTATAGTAGAGTTTTACTAATTAGTGGGTTGGCCTGCAGTTACGGTCTTCATGGTAATAGTCTTTGTTTCTTCATTGGAGACCAAACCTTAGTATCTAGCATTATATGTCTCCCTTGGCCTTTTAATGAAACAGAAGGGGTTTTAGGACTAGTCAGCACTCTGTCAGATACGAGAAATGTTTTATTTTGATTAGACTAGATTACTGTCTTTAGTGTTTAGCAGACTTAGATTAAATTAATTCAGTGAAACTAATTTAATTGAAATATACTGCCTGGAAAGGAAAGTTCCATTTGAATTAAGCAGAAGCCAGAAGGAATTAAAAAATGAGCTTTCTGATGATCTTACACAAGCAAATACTTTTGGTGATGTATACCTTGCATTCATAACCTGCCAATTTTAAGAATATAATCTGCAGAAATGTGTGTTGCACTCGTGCTCTGGATGCATGGTTTGAATGTGTGCTCTCACAGGATGAGACATCACCATGTACATTTTCTATGGCTTCGCAAGCTTTCAGTTTTAAGGAAGCTGTTTTGGTGAGACATGTGACAGCTAATAGGGTTGTGTAAATGAATCTTTTCTTTTTTTCTTTTTTTTTTTTTTTTTTTTCCCCTTGGTGACAGTTATTACCAATCAGTATACTCACTAGACAGATACACAGAGGGACTGTTACCAGGTAAATGTCAGTGACACTGGACAAAGGCATCATTTGAGGGTTCTGGAGAAATTCCTGTGTAACAGGACACTTAGCAACATTTAAGGTGCTGGAGGAAGCTGCATGAATTGTAAAATGAGGGTTCAGTATAGCAGATGCTTTAAAGGAAATTTATTTTAAAACCTTCCTCCACTGGGCTCTTCTGTTTCATCACAAATAGGTGGTCCTGCTAGAAAGAAAAGGGGAAAGAAATTACTTTGAATGGCTTAGTTGGTATGGAGGAAAGATGCTAGATCTGTTCTGACCTGAAAGCCAATGGCTTTCATTTTTATTGCAGAACATGATATTTTTCAAGTGATGTACTACTACTGAAAGCCATATTGCCATGAAATTTGTTTCTGCTATCAGTAGCAGTGAAACGAGGGAGTTATAATTCCTTTAAAATGTAATGGGTTATATTCTTTCTGTGCTGTGATCTATGAGCAAGTCAATTTGTCAGCCTTACTGCTAATGCTGAACTGTGTGACGGGCATTAGTGTGTTCTCTGTCATTAATAATCTTTGTTTGTACCCTTAACCTGCTGAATATTCAAAAGCAAGCAAAGTGACCATCAATACTTCAAAATTCTTATCTGTTACAGAATTTCACAAACTTATTCGGACAACCATTGGTGTGCTTGCTTTCTCCAACAGCATATCCAAAAGCATTACAAGGTACGTGTTGTACTGCATTTCCTAACAAGTTGCTGCTGCATCATATATCTATCTCGATCAAATGTAACTTGGATTCTTCAGGAAAAGATAGCTTTTCATCACTATGGAATCCCTAAATCTGATTAACATTCCCTGAAGTAGCATGATAAAGTTTAGTGACGGTTTATGGCAAATAATTTATTCTAACAATGATGATATTTCTACAGATAGCTTCAGCAGGTGCCAGGAGGCAAAGTATCCCTTACGCAGAGACTCAGAAAATTGCCAGCCCAGTGCTGTGATGATGATGATAACGATTAGCACTTTGGGTAGCTGTATTAGTCCTAAAAAATGAGCAGAGTCAGTTAAGGTATCAGCTTTTAAATGCCAGGTGTAGAGCAAAATCGTCTCAGATCTTGTTCTGATTTTGGAAGGTAAGTTAAGGAAAACCGTTGGCTTTGTACGCCCCAAGAAGGTGTGTTTGTAGTAGAAACAGGCGATGAAACATTCTGCAGTCTTTGTGACTACTATAACATAGAAATAATTCCAGACTTTCTTGCTGGAATTTGCTGCGTTAAGGCTGTTATCCATCACAAAGACAAGTACCAAGACCTAGCTGAAGCCACAAAGTGATGTTAGGCAAGTATCATGAGAGAGTGTGCAAGAAGTGGAAGTTTCTCATTTGTTTTGAAACTATTCCTGTTATTTAGCTGAAACATAAGTAGAAAATAAGTACTGTAATAATGAATCCTATTTAAACAGAAATCCTGAAAAGTAGAGCTAACTTTGTTAAATACTGGATGCTTGCATTGTGTTCATGGACCAGTCAGGAAAATCTTGCTGTAGTTGTGAGGGGGTGCTACACTGTGCACTAGAGCACTGTGCAGAGACTTCTTAGCTGAGCCTGAATGAGCCCCTGTGTCACTATGGCATCAGACCATGCATGCTGTGTGCCCGAGTCCCGGAAAAAAAAAGGAAATGCACCAAAACAAGTTGGTAATCCTGGCTGATGAGGAAGTGGCCTCGCTCTTTGGGTACATGATTTTTGACTTCCTGGTTGATTGTGATGAAGCTTGGACCTCTGTGTATCATGTTGAACTGGATGGAGTAAATGGGCTTTAGGATATTATGATACCCAACAAAAGGGCAGCTGCGTAGACTTCGGGGAGTTTTATGGGTTTGGCTGCCTTGTTTTTTGAATGGAATAGGACAGTCCATGTTTAATACTTCTCTTCAAGATTTATAATAAGTATTTTCTATCAGTTGTTTCAGTTATGACTTTTGTGTTCAAGTTATGTGCTCAAAATTAAGATCTAGGCCTCCCACAATTAATGAGAAAATCTCATTTCTTTGGTGCTAATGCACATCTCTAGTAAGCCTTTATTGCTAGGCATTGCATCATCTTGAGAACAGATCTGCCACAAGAGGAGCGAAGATGTAACTAACACAAAGGAGTAGTTCCTCTGTTACAGAATTTAGCGGGTGAGCGATTTCATTCTGTGGCAGGGACAGCATTTCTGTTTCATGTGCCAAATGTATCTCTTTGTCTATTGATTTTTTTTTTCTTTTTTTTTCTTTTTTAGATCAGTCTCAGCGGGGAAGCCTCTTCACCATCTTTCTGAACAACCCTTTAATGGCATTCCTATTTGTCTCTGGATTATCAAGCATGCGCAGAGGATTGTGGGAGAAGTGTCAAGATTACCTTAGAAAAATCAACAGAGATATTGCCCAGCTGCTGACCCACTCCCGATCCATAGGTAGGTGCCTAAAGATGCCCAGCTGAACCTTAGCATGCTCTGTAAGTGGATGCTGTTTTTTCTTGCTCAGCCTTCCCAGGGGACAGAATAGTGAGTAAGGGGAATGCACAAGAATTCGTAGTGGTTTCCCCCACGTCTCTTTTGTGTTGTTGTTGGGTTTGTTTTGGGGGTTTTTTTTGGTGGTTTTTTTATGCCTTTCTAAACGGAGGGTTTTTTGCCTTCCCTACAGATCAGTCCTTTCTTCAGTTTTTTGGGGATGAATTTCTTCGCTTGCTTCTAACAAGATTTATCTTCTGTTCGGCTACCATGAGGATGCACAAAATTTTCCGGGTATGCAGGGATATCTATCCCTTTATGAGAATGATACTCCAGTGCATATAGAACCACGCTGCCTGAGGATGGAAGGGTCTTAGGGCTAAGCATATCACTGTGACTTCAGAAAGATAACTGATGCTCACATGCTAATGCCTACAGCTTGTATTGAATCTGTGTCTTTGTATCTCTCCAAAGGCATGAAGCCTTTGACTTGCTGAAGCCTTATTCCTCTACATAAATAGCAGACACTCTAATTCATTTATGTCACTCTGAACAGCCTTGTCTGCTAGAAAAATTCCTTTTAATAATTCCAAGATTATTGTATCTACACAACTAAAAAGGTACAGAACGAGAATCTTAAGAGGATGTGGGAAGGAGTGGAATGTTACTGCTAGAATGTATTCTAGCATGAATGGATTTTGAAAGGTCTTTGAAGTGTAAATGAATAAACTAAACAGGGAGATGTTATTTTCCCTCCCTGTTGGTTAATGCTGTGCCAACAGTGAAGTCTGCTTCTGGACCTACACCATTTTATATATGTGAGTTTTGGCATATAAACTGCCTGCTCCATTTTAAACATTACAGAACAAAATGGAAGTTGAAGCACAGCAATACACAGTATCATCCTGCCTAACTGCAGAAGCTTTCCAAGCCTAAGTGAGCTACGTAGGCTTCTTTGATACTGGGGAAAAGAAGCAGGTCTTCTGTTAGGGGATAGATTTGCCCCTAGTGTTTTAGGTATTTGTTTTAGGATGAGATGAATCTCCCACTGGAGATGCTTGCATATCTATAATTTCAAGAAATGAACTCCAGCCTAGTAGGTAAGTATATGTAAAGTCGGCTTGTCTTTTTTTTGGGGGGGTTGTTTGTTTTTTTTTTTTTTTTTTTGCAAGGCTTCTGTGAACATATTATTGCCCATCTTAGATGAACGGGCATTTGTATTGCCACTGTGACCATCTCTGAGTCAATGGAAAGAGAAAACTGAAAATGCTAGAATGCTTTCTCTCTCTGTGGCATGCTAAACAGATTAGGATACCTCTTAAGTGAAATTGGCTGTTTGCAATCTTCTTCATGAAGGGTGTAAAAATAATGAATGTCTGATTCTCTTTGTTTTCACTGTCATCTAGCAGGAGACTCGAAATTATCCAGAATCTTATCCTCAGCTGCCAAGAGATGAAACGGTGGAGAACCCTCACCTCCAAAAGCACATTTTGGAGCTGGCTTCCATACTGGATGTTAGGAATGTTTTCCTGGAAAACACCCTCGATGACTATTAAGAGAAACTGTCTTACTACAAAGGGGTTTCCCTGGCCACAGATTTTGAATGGTGCAGTTTTATAATGTGAAAATCATAAAAGGAAGTACTTGATTTTATTTTTAAATTTAGGACCATTATTTTAAAAAGTAATAAACAGCTGTTAGTTTGGCTGTTCCATTCTGTATGGGGTCAATTTTATAAGCAGAAGTTTTCATGTCTTTTAAATGTTAAGCTAAAGAGTCACTAGAGGTTTATTTCTGGTCTTGTGGCTATCAACCACATTTCCAACAGCTGATCCTAAGCATAGAAGTATTATTGGTTACCTTTAGCCCACGTTTGTGGAAATCCTTTATTTTTATACAATTTTAAGAAATTGGAAAAAAAAAATCAATAGAAAAACAATATTTTATCCCCAAAGAGTCTGGATTTGAAATGGTAAAGATGGAACCACGCAGTGCAGACCAACAATAGCAATAAAACAGAGTCCTTCATAACAAATATATTTTTTCAGTCATAGGCAAGTAAGTAGACAAAACTGTGGACAATTAAGTTGCATTTGGAGCAGCAGGTTTGAAGTGAAGTTGTAAAGATACTTAATGCTCCCTACAAATTTGACACAACAATTTTTATTATGAACTTTCTACTGCTGGCCAAGGACGCTGCCTGACTGGGTAGATGGTTAGCAGATAAACGAATTGCAAAACTTCAGAAAGCTAGCCCCCATCTCTCACTGTAATATGGGTCATCTTGCCATTTGTATTGCTGCCACAATCCTCCAGGAGGAGAGGGCATTCTTCATTTTGAGGTACTAGACAGAAATTCTTGCATTTCCAGCAGGTGTTTTCCCTCCTTTCCGTGTGTGGATGGAATGTGTGGCTCCCACAGTGTTACCAGCCCCTGACAGGAGCTGAATGTCCTACACAGTGCTGAATACGAGCCCTTCCTCACTCATTTATCTGACCCATCTGTGCTGGATCCCTGTGCCCTAGGAGAGATGCTGGTGCTCCTCTTGCAGCTTAAACAAAGTGGGTGCTGCCATTAAGCCCTGTTAAAGTTTCACGTGCCCACCATTACGTCTCAATCCTATCTTGGAGCCAGTGAAACCGAGGGGCTATAATTATGTTTGGCAGCACTATAGGCTCCCTCAGCCTATAATGCTCAGTCTGGGTGTGCTAAGGAGTACAGTGGCCTTGGTAAAGGTACTTGCTGGAGAAGGCTATCCTGACTCCTGGGAAAAGTGCTGCTGGCTCATTTGGACTGTACTGCCTTCCTTGCTGAGCTAGAGGACCTCTTGCAAGTCCTGACAGTGAAGGTGTGAGCAAGGAGAAGGAACTGAAAATATTTTAAACTGTTAAATTAAAAAATCTGTTTTCACTGTTCTGTGGGCTGCTACAAAAGTAGTGAAAGCACAAGTGGGATCAGTGCTTTTATGTTGAACACCTGCCATGCCTCTGTTTTTAGGTGGAGAAAAAAAAAAAATGCAGAACTTGTTGACTGCCGCAGTATCATGGCAGGCCTGTTTGCAGTGCTGTCATACAAGGTATGATCTAGTCAGCCGCAATAGCGAAGGGCAGTAAATCAGCACTGATGGGCCCCGTTCAGCTGAGGAGAGCGTGGTATGGAACAGCAAGAATTGCTGCAGTGTAGCTGGGAAGTTTGCATGAAGGTTCGTTGTAGCTGGGCTGAAGCTCATGCCATCCATTCTTTTAACTTCTCAAGTGTAAAAAAATTCTGCGAATGCTAGTGTTTGTTGAACACAGTGTTGAAGCTGGTATATTGAGTCCCCCACCACTTGGTGCTGCTCTTCTTTGGACTATGGCAGGACTTCGTTACCTGGGATGTGGAGTTTATTTTAAAGAGTGTGTGTTTGTGTGTGTGCATGTGTGTTCTAGGCGTTTGTGTGTATATGTACAATACGCATACATCTACTGGCTGGTGTAAATTGTAAATATGTATATATGTATAGGTACTTGTATATGTATTAAAAAGAATGAAACAGTACAGTGTCTATATACAAAATTTATATATACACACATACGCCATTTTGGGTGCATTCTACAAGGTGTTGCAGATCGTTTGTAGTTGTGGTAAAGGTTATGGCTCTCCTGCCATTGTAATTCACTGTTTTCAGGGGCTTACACGTGGACCCTGAAGTGGTTCATAACTGATTTCAGGTACAGGAGGCCTTAGTTAGCCAGGGGGATGAGTACTCCTGTATGTATTACAGTGGTAAGATTCAAGTATTCTTAACTGTGAAGCTGATGATCTGCCTTTCCTTCTGGTAGGAGGTCCCCAGTTACTAAAACATGGGCTTGTATGCAGAAGCTAAAGATGCTGAAAGCCTTTACTGCAGCAGAAAGTGAGAGACGGGTTATCTGTTACCCTGCCTGCTGTTCCTCCACCAGCAGTGTTCAACTTGCATGGAAGAGGGGAATTTAGTTTTCCCCAGCTCACTGCCTTCCAACCAAATGCTTTTGTTTTGCTTTAGCTTTTGTGTTGATGAAGCTATTCTCGTTGTGGTTCTGTGTATCTGGAACAGTGTGCTATTTCCAAGCACAGGGGTGATGCTGATTCCGTTAGTGTGGGCGGGTGAACCTCTGTGGGATGTTGCTTGTTAACTGACAGGGAAAGCCTCGGCGGTCCCAGTCTTCATTTTAGCTGGGCTGAAGCAAGGAGCCCTTGCTTGTGATCCGAGAGGCTTCTAATCCACCTTGCAGCCTGAAGAAGAGGTTCTGTTTGCTTGTTACCAATGTAGATCTAATCAGAGGAGAACGCACTTTTCTAAAAACAAAAACGCTGAAGAAGCTGGAATGTCGGAGGAGAATACAAGACCTTGAAAACTAGTTCAGAAGTCGAACTTATCAGCGATGACTGTCCAAGTCAAAAACTCATTCTTGAGGTCCCTCATTCTCTCACCTACTGATCTTTGGTTTGGAAGGTACGCTGCTGGCAGGGATATTCGAAGATAGATTTCGCTCCTGTTGTGTCAGTAGGAGTACAGAATTGTGCTTTGTAAGCGAAAGGCTGATACCATCTGCCTGCCCTAGCTGTAGATAGGATGAGTATGTCTTGGGTTTTGAGCCAGCCCCTTCCTTCCCACCCAAAACAACTGCATTCAAGATGAAAATACTGGTATTTTCCTCTCCACGTAAAATCTTGTCTTGTTCGAACTTACTAAGTCATTCTAAACTTGTGCTACTGTGTGCTGTGTACTATGGTCGTAGGTACCCTCTTGATGTATGCTTGTGTGTACTGAAGAAAAATTTGGTTTATGTATCTAGCAGTCCTCACTGTGAAAGTGAAGCAAAGACTAAACCATTTTTAAGAGAGAAGAGAACAAATCCTTTTCCTCTCAGGCCTAATGCCTTCCCTCTTGTTTGCTCTCCCTTTCTCCGTGTATCTTTATTGCTTGAGTTAGCGGAGGAGACTTGCCACCACCAGGCAATACCGAATTAATGGGGAGAGGAGAATGTGGCCAGGGCTGAGCATGTCCTTACTGGATTGCTTCTGCCTAGCTCCCTACTTGCTGCACGTGGTATGTTCAGCTGAGTCCTGCTCCCACAGGAGGCACCTCTGTACTCTGTTCAAACCGGCTCAAACATCTAGCCAAAGTTACTGCTGATGCCTTTTGTTTTTTCCCCTTCTCAAAATAACAGTGAGGGGGGAATACAGGGTTATGAGTCTTTAATGCTCTGGTTTTTAATCACTCTCGGGACGTGATGTGTCATTTAGCTTCACATGCAAACTAAATGGAACACCAGCTTCTGTGAGCTGGGCAAACTGGACTTGCTCCCTGGAGTGCTTTTTCGAAGTTTCAGGACAGTTCATCAAAATAACATCCATCAAGTCATGACTTGCTAAACCCCTCAAGACTGTTCCCCAGGGAGGCGTGCAGAGATGTCTTTTAAGGATCATAGGAAATAGATGGGGGGGACACAGCAAAGTAGGCTTCAAATAATCATCTTCCAAAGCTACAACCTCAGTAGCTCTGGTCAGGCTTCTCCTCGAAGGACGGGATGAAAGCGCTGTTCCAAGATTCGTCCCTGGCATGCTGTTGTGAAGCTCTCCCCTGCCCCGCTGCTTTCCTTGTGCTGTAGCTCCATGCTGTGCTTCAGGTCTGCTTTTTCCTGAAAGCTAAAAAGCTCGGAATCTGTCTAAACAACTTTTTTTTGTCTTGAGGCTTCTTTTGTAAAAGCTTTATCTGTGTTAGATCCTTCAGTAACTGTTCTGACTACAGGTCCCCAGCGACAGCAGTGGCAGAGCCCCTGTTTAGTCCTGCCCCCGTCCCATGGTAGGTGGCTGCTTAGTGTCGGTACCTGATCTGCGGTGGCTGGTGCCACTCCTGGGGCTGCGGGAGCTCCGCAGGCTCTAACAGTAAGGGGAAGAAAACCTGATGCACAGAGCTGAAAGCTGCTCTGTGGCTCGGGAACCTTAGGCTCGCTGCAGTCAGCCTCTGCGTGAGGGACACTGGCAGAGAGGACAGCGGCAGAGATCTCCAGAGCGGAGATGATACATTCCTGAGGCGGCTCTCTTGTGTTTTTAGTATCTGTGACTTTTAGAGCAATACTCTTTCTGTGACCAAATGTATTGCAAGTGCTTTGAAGAGCTGGATGTCCACAAACAGAGCAGGGGAGGAACGCATCAGGCATGTGTATCTGCTTTATATTCAGAAGTGAAAGCAAGCTTTTTTTTTTTTTTTTTCCTCCTCCAAACTATTACTCTGCCAAGACAGAGGAGATTTCAAGGTTTCTGAATTTGACAGATTTTTTTGAGGGATTAAGGAGTGTCTCTGCATTCCCATTGACTTGTTAACGTGCCAGCTGCACGCATAGCTGTTTTGCTCGGAGATCCCGGTTTCATCCGCAGCGAGAGCAGGCTTCCCTGCCGCTTGCTGGCCCAGAGGAGCCCCCTGAGCAGCACAGATCGTACCGCATCTGGTAACCGCAGCTCTTCCTGTGAGAATAAAAGCCCGTTGTGAGTATCTGCCCCATGGACTTTGCAGATTTCTTTTGGCACGTGTTTATTATAATCGCTTCTCGGTTGTCAGTGAGTTGTCAGGAGCAGGATTCTGCCTCACGCAGGCTAAAAAGCACAGGTTGCTCCTGCCCTGGCCCCGGCTCGGCGCGAAGGCCGAGGGGAGCATAAGGTGGGAGAGGGAGGGGGGGTCCTGGCAAGGCAGAGGAACTGTGCCCCAAACAGCCCAGCTGCAGAGGGAAAAGGAGCAGTTTGCCTCTCTTAAGAATCAGATTATTTATTACCAAAAGTAATTTTATAGTGAATCGGTTTAAAGTTATTTTACAGCCATGTGCCTGTATATCATATTTTGGTAAAAACAGATATTTTACTTAAAATACATAGAGATGTATAAATAAACTTTTTTGGAGCAAATAGCCTTTTTTTTTTTTTTTTTTTTTTTTTTTTTTTTTGCAAAACATTTACAGAGTTTTTCTGCAAGCCTATCAAAGCTTCCTCTCCTAAGGAAATCTCATATACATGCCTCAGACCCTCAAGAAAAATTACAGCACTACTCTTGCTCTATCCATTATGCCTCTGTACTCCTACAAAGCTCCCTCAAGTGCACGTGTACACACAGTACTTGCAGCTCCCTCTCCTGCATCCCAAAATTTAGCTGGGCCCATGGCACCAAACGCTGTGGCTAACCCCAAACTTGGTGCGAGCCGACCAGCTACAAGGCCAAACTGAACCAGCACCCTGCCTCTCACCTTCTACAACAACTGCTATTCTGCAAAAATAATAAACCTGCATTTTCTTTTAACAATTTGACACACCAGCAAAGAGCATTAATTAGGTCATTTAGACCTAAGTGATGGCAAAACCAGTGCTACATGCAGGTGCAGTAATATTTTTAAGGGGCATAATCTGAAAAATATCTCATTTTCAAGAACACTTACATAGGAGACCTGGCCTTCAGTTTTTTGTCATATAAACCCTGTTCTGTATTATTTATGAAATAGTAACCGCAGGGGATATTATAACATGCAAAATACTGACCAACAGAGAAACACCAGGAGCTTCTCCTTCCAAATTTTCATAAATAATCTACTTGATTTATAAGGAATAAATGAAGTTCAACAGTGTAATTTTAAGAGATGATTTCGCAGGTTCCACTGCAAAACCAAAACTTTTTAGTTTTGTTTGTGTCCCGTATCTTCCATATACATTTTCTCTTTTTAATGCTATCTTGATAACATTTTTTTAAAGGTTTCTCCCCTGGGTGGTTTGCTTTGCGTGTTATAACAGGTGTGATGTTAAAAGGCATTTAGTTGTCGTTAAATGTTTAATGCGAGTAGAAATCTTTAGCGCGGAAACCATCTCTCTTTAATTTGCAGGTACTGATAGCCTATGAAGGCTTTAATGGAACTAGGAATGCAATAAAAATGAGTGGATGAGGCACAAAAAAGGTTTCTCCCCTGGGTGGTTTGCTTTGCGTGTTATAACAGGTGTGATGTTAAAAGGCATTTAGTTGTCGTTAAATGTTTAATGCGAGTAGAAATCTTTAGCGCGGAAACCATCTCTCTTTAATTTGCAGGTACTGATAGCCTATGAAGGCTTTAATGGAACTAGGAATGCAATAAAAATGAGTGGATGAGGCACAAAATTAAATGTTGGCATCTGGAAGCTTTAAACAGAGCGTCGGTATATCAACCATATTGGAGGTAGTGGCTTTTCAAAGTACCTGGCTATTTCAGGACTATAGAGCAGTAAAATGTTTGCAAAATTGAAGAAGAAGATAGCAGAAGAGGCAGCTATTGCTCCCAGACCGGGAGGAGCTGCCAGGATACCCAGGTCTGTCAGCAAGGAGTCAATTACGTCCGTGGGAGCCGACTCTGGGGATGACTTTGTAAGTTGTGCCTGGCTTTGAACTTCACTTTCTCTTACAGCATTTCTAGCACAGCTTTACAGACAACCATTTTAAGTCAAGTGTACGGCTTGAATATGCACTGTGGTGTCTTTGTACATCTTAATACGTAAATGAATCATTAGCTTGAATAAATGTAAATACTGAAGAGAAAATGCTTGTATGTTAACCACAGTAGTGACTAGGAGGCTTATATTCCCATGTAAACGTGAGTTGCAAAGCTACCTCGATACAGAACATTGTTAAACAGGCGTAAAATATAGAATAAGTTCTAGTAACATGCAAGATACCTATTTGTAAAATGAATTGCTGAAGCAGTAGGAAAGCGAGTTAGGCACTGGTTAGCTGTGATCCTGCTCTGGACCTGTGTTTGCCTCTTGGCGCCCTGGTACTCTTCCTCCTCCGGTGTATCGTTTATGCAACGTGTGTTCAGTTTTGCTGCACTCAAAACTATTGTAGTTCCTCCAGTGTCTGGTTTAAACTCTGTTTTGTTACAAAGCATTGTTTAAGCAAGCTGTATCATCCCATGAGCGTATGCGTTAAATGGAACCCTGTAATGCTCCGGCACCTTCTGCCCCTTGGTGGCTATCCTATTTTTCAAAACCCGGATTAAGGCACAGTGTTGCACCACTGTTGGAGCCAACAGTACCCGCTGTACTGCAGCAAGTCGCTTCACAATTCTGTTTGGCTGTCTGCAAAATGGAGAAGTTATTTACGGGGTTGAATGTTAAGTCATTTTTTCTGAAGCTCAGCTGAAATTCCACTTCTGTTAAGCAGAAAGTTGGAACGCCTAATGTTTAAATATATTGGTCTTGTGTTTTTTCTGAAATTTTTTTTCACTTGACAAATTCTCATGTTGGAATTTCGTTTACTGTCTTGTGAGTTTAGGGAACAGAAAACAAATAACGGTCGTAGCTGAAGTCTCGAGTGGTTTTCAGAAAACTTCCAAGAATTAGTTGTTTCAGCAGTGTTCGTTTAACGGCTCTTAATAATCAATTTTTATGGAGCAAGAAACCCCATAGAGAATCATATCCATGCAGTGGATTTTGCATGGAGCCCGTTGCATGGAAAGACTACGGCATTAGTGCTTAAGCCAGCTTATCCCAGGTGACGAGCGTTACTGTTTCTTTTCTACTTACTTAGTTTCCCGAAAGACTCGCTTTGACCCATCCTGAAGCCTGTACTGCAAAGCCTGATTTTCTGTTACTCCCCCCATAGTCATTCTATTATGCCGTCTCCTCAGTGATCAATTTGAACAAATAGTTTTCAGCTCTGGCTTCTTTTTAGCATTGTATTTCAAACAGGCCAGCGTTGCAGAGCTGACCGTTTAAGCCCTTACTGTTTTTCTTCTTCAGCATTTTTTACACATTCTGCTGTGCTAGTACAACTGCCTTTATGTGGAGAACTGAAGTGTTATTCCTAGGTGGGATAGTGTTTATTATCTAGAGTTACTGTATGGCAGGATCGCTTTTCCTGAATTTTGTAAATTACATGAGTGTTGTTTTTCTACCAAGGCTTCTGATGGAAGCAGCTCTAGAGAGGATCTTTCATCCCAGTTGTTCAGAAGAAATGAACAAATAAGAAAACTGGAGGTCAAGCTCTCTGGTACGTGTCTTGATACATCTAAACCCCTATGACTTTAGGAAATACTTTCCTTTGAACTTAAGCGTTTTGATTTATTAAAAATACATGGGGTTAGGATTTTTGAAAATTGATTCGTAACAACCCTATTGTCATCTAGATAGCATCTGGCATAAAGACGACTGACTCTTCCCTGCTGATTTCACGACACATTTCTGTGACTGTTTTGACCAGCTGGGATAGCTTTCTGTCCCCATGCTTCAAACAGTGGCTTTCCCCACTTTTATTTTACTTATTCTGTGTACCTAATGGTTTGTTTCTCTTGGGATCTAAGCTTTCCAATGTTGACAGTAACATGGTGCCATTCTTAAAGAATTGAACTTTGAAATGAAGAAAAAGCAAAGTATTCAACATAAAACAGTCCTGAGGCTTTTTTTTTTTTGTTTCCTAAGATAATACCTTGTTCTTTAAAGCTGCAGTAAGGGCTCTGCTCTGGCACTGCTTCCCACCCCTGTTGTATGGGCTAAAGTAGGCTAAACTGTGTTACACTGCTGCTTCCCAAAGCACGTAGAAGGCCTTGGAAAATAAGGAGGTTCTAGCCAGCTCAGGATTATTTTAATTTATTCAGGAGACTTATCAGGCTCCAGTTCAAGAAAACAGAGGATTCAAAGATGATTTCCCGTTGCAATTTGAAAGGGCAAAGTGTTCACCTATTTGCATAAGGTAAACTTAAAAGTGCTGGCTGGGGCTTAGTACGAGAGAGGGAGGCACTAAGTACCAAGAGGCTCGTGCAAGCAGCCCGATCAGTCAGTAAATCATCCTCTCCTTTGTACATAAACTTCTCTGAGGTGCGTGTATGTGTTTTGTTTTGTTTTTTAAAACTGCCTTCCTTGTCAGTTCTGCTCGGTAGGCTCGGTAGTGGTAAGAGTGCTAGTTTGTTGGCAGAGCGGGAGCGCCAGTCGGAGCTCAGCCTCGGAATACTGTGTGACTTGAACAACGAGCCGTACGGAGCAAGGATGCAAGCGTCTATGACTTGCCCCATCCTCGCACCCTCCAGTGAGAGAGGCCTTTCCTAAACAGCGTTAGGTAGATCACTGTTCTTGAATGAAGAAAAACGAGGGGACAGTTCTTCATTCTCTGGCACTGCTCCTTTTTTGTGTAACCAGCAGAGCTAGGACAGGTCCTCCTGTTTGTACCAACCCTTTACCCTGTGCACAATACAGAACTATTTGCTTGTGTTCATTGTTATGGTCACCCAAGTTTTCCTCAACAGGAATGATTTTCTGGTTGAGAAAATCATCGTCATTTTCCACTCATCCTTTTTTCTTTTTTTTTTTCTTTTTTTTTTTTTTTCTTTTTGTTATTGCCTTCCCCAATGTCTGTTCATTCCTGGTCTGTGCTTCTCCCTCCTCACACAAGATTATGCTGATCAGATCCGAAACTTGCAGAAGATAAAAGAGAAGCTTGAAAATGCATTAGAAAAGCATCAGGATTGTACGTACTTTTCTTTTTCCTTTTTTTTTTTTTAAAGGTGAAAACTGTTATGGTTGGAAACACGTTTGATGTACAGATGTTTTAATCATTTGCTTTCAAACTGTGCACCTCTAGGTTGCGAAGAAATAGAACACAAGTTCTTGCCTTATTTAGAGCGTAAAAAGCAGCAGCAGTTTGTTGGCTGTTGAACAAAGTTGTTGTTATACTCCTTTTGCCAAATTTGGGGCTAAAGTGCAAGAGAGGCTTTTCTGAAACCTATGGCTTTGTTACAGTCCAGTGAGGAACAGTACTGCTCCTGTTATTTCTGGCATGTGTCCAGTGTGCGAGCAGCATGAGGTAATAAGTGGCACAGCGTTCGTGCTAGAGAGTCAAAATGGGGCTAATTACTTGCAGAAGAAGCTCTTTAAAGTTATAAATAACTTACAGAAAATTGAGAAGCAATTTTAAAAGATGAGTTTTTAATATAGCTGGTGATTCTCTGTTGCTAGCCTCCATGAGGAAGTTTCAGGAGCAGAATGAAGCTCACCAGGCCAGTCGAGCCAAGATGGCTGAAGGAATGGCTTTGGCCTTAGAAAAAAAGGACCAGGTAACAGAGCTTGAAGAACTCAACTTTTGACTGACTGTGGAGATTCGAGTGCAAGACCTTGCTGTTTTAAGCAGGCATCACCGTTAATTAAAGTAGTTGTACATTGTATTTGCTTAGCTTGCCAACATTGAGGAACGAAGGGAGCATTGAGTTAAAATGCCAGAAATGGTGTAGGACTTGTCATTGTTTTGACTGTTCTTACTGGTTTTAAAAAGAGGCCACGCCAATTTCTAATGAAAGGTTAAGCTTGCACTTGTGTGTGGTAAGATTCAATTGCAGTAGACCTGTTGACACTTATATTTTGTTTTACTTGATAAAGCTTATGTATTCAGGTAGCATAAATGATTCCTTAGCCTTTATATGTTAAAACACTAGCTGTTACTTTTCTTGTGCTGATTATTTTTTTAATCATTAGCATGACTTAGTATCTCTGTTAACAATACAAATTCTCTTTTTTTAACCATAATTGCTGTCCTTGAAAGTCTACAAATTGATTTATTTTTTTTTTTTACCCTCCTTTCTTTCTTGTTCAGGAGTGGATGGAAAAACTGGGTCAAGTTGAAAAGGTAATTAAACTTTGGGGCTTGGGTGTTTGGTTTTTTTTGTCTGTGTATGTGTATTTGTAAACACCAGCCTGCAGACTTCCTACAGGTGGAAAATAATTTTGTTTATTACAGAGGCTGGGATGCAGGAGGTAGTGACTTCATCTGAGGTCTTGCAGTAGGTCATCTGTTTTATGAAACAAATGAAACTATTTGGTAGGGATTTTTTTCAGTGGGGAAGTAAAGAATAATGGGTTACCATGAGAAAGATGTACTTCTGTAAGGTGGAAAATAATTTTGTTTATTACAGAGGCTGGGATGCAGGAGGTAGTGACTTCATCTGAGGTCTTGCAGTAGGTCATCTGTTTTATGAAACAAATGAAACTATTTGGTAGGGATTTTTTTAATACAGGATTTCAGTCTTGTAGTTGTTCTAGCTGTTTAGCTTGGTCTATTTTAATGTATCTCTGATTATGAAGATATTAAACATGCTACTATTTGCTGTCCATTTCTAAGAGTTCAGTTAGGTGATCATTGGCTGCATTATAATGAATATGGATTTTTTTTTTTTGAGATTTTTGGTAAAGTTTGGTAATTTGCTCCACATCTCCTACTGCAACATGAATGTGGAAGAGCTGCTGGTTCTACATGTAGCACCCTCAGAGAGCCTTACGGCTGCATGACAAGATTCCTTTCCCAGAGAGTTTAATTGAATTCCCATTGACTTGAAATGAGCATTCAGATATTACTGGATTCCTCTTGGTCTTGTTGGTTTATCAGGAAAAAAAAATGCTTGAAACACAGTTACAAGAGATGAGGGAGCAGCGTTTGAACCTTTTTCAAAAAAGAGATGAAATTGATGAACTGGAGGGCTTTCAGCAGCAGGAGATTGCCAAAGTTAAACACATGGTAAGATTATTTTAAACTTTTTTTTTTTTTTCTTTCCTAACATTTCTGTTAGAATACAAAATTAGTGGTTGCTCTGCATTAATTTTTTTAGCCTTTATGCTTATATACAGTCCTGGTCAGTGTCCAAATCCTAACAGTAGGTACATGCATACAGTATTGCACAGCTTATTTCTCAGTTACTTTTCTGGGAGTTATTTATTATTTCATTTAATTCAGCACATAAATTAATAAAAAGGGCAATTTTCAATGAGAAGATGTTATCAGTATTACCGGGTCATCTGTATTGTCAAAGATAACAATCTAATATTCAGCTTTTGAAAAAGGAAGAATCTCTGAGCAAAACAGAGCAGGAACTAGAGGCGTGCACTCGAGAACTAACCCACGCTAAAGAGGTCCTTCAGGATGCAAGCAGCGAGTCATCAGGCCTAAGGAAAGATCTTCAGGAGCTGCAGCAGCAGTTCTTGGAGCTGGAGGCGCAGAGGTATGGATGTGGTGTTCCGTGAGGAGCAGTGTATTCATTTCCCCTATACTTTTACTTCGTGCCCAGTTCTGTCTTTTTGAAAGAGTTTATGTATGTAGTGAGCTGACTGCGTAATTGCTTCTGGTACGCCGATGTGGATGTAAATGCCAGATTTATATTTCTTTTCAAGCCAATTAAAGTAGTGCTTGTTTAAGGTTTTGTAAGCTTGTTACGATTTCTTTTTTCATAGTTTGAATGCTTATCTTTCACTTTTTTTGGAAAATGTATAATCAAGCAGTGGCTGGTTTTAGGACAGGAAAATCTTGTTGATGTTGCCTAGTCCATTTTCATAAGAAGCAGAATTATCTGCTGAAGACTATTTTTCTGGAACAGTATGTCACTTTTTTTTTTTATTCTCTTTCTGTGAAGAGATGAACTAATGACAGCTGTGACAAATGCAGAAAATAAGATCACTGCTCTGAAGTTAAGAGAACAGGAGCTACAAACTGTCATTCAGCAGCTTTCTCTAGACTTGCAAAATGTAAGTTTGAGTTAAGTGAGATTTGATTAATCTAACTTCTACAGACAAGGAGCAATTTTAGATATCAGTTATGTGGTTTTCGAAATCTAAGTTTCAAAGCAAGTAATTTCTCATGAATTGCTCCTTGTCTGTAGAAGTTAGATTAGATATCAGTTATGTGGTTTTGGAAATCTAAGTTTCAAAGCAAGTAATTTCTCATGATTTTTAGGCTCGAGTTGCTGGTTCTGGTTGTGAGAAGAGGCTGGAAATGTTACAGGTGGAGCATGAATCTCTGAAGGTGGAATATGAACAACACAAGCAAAAGGTTAAGTGTTTTCAGATGCATCTGCTGTTGGCTGGTGTCAGGGTGTACACTTGGGTAATGCACTGTGAGTTTGAGATTTGGCGTCTAGAAAGTGTTTCAGGATCATGCTGTCTTTTCACATAGGACTTGTCTGTTTTTAATGGCACTTTTTAAAGTCAAACCACGATGGATTAGATGAAAGCTTCGCTATAAAAAAGGTTCTGTGACTTCTTGTTCTCACAGATGACTTTGGAATTTGCTGAGAGAAATAAACTTATTGAACAGCTGCAGGAAAAAGTGTCTTCCTTGGAAAAAAAGCTAGAAAGAAATCTTTCAGGGGATGAACATGTGCAGGAGCTACTTAAGGAGGTAATGATACATTTATAGAGTGCTTAGAAGCTTAATCTTAGTGAGGTTTTTTTTTTACAATGTACATTACTTATCACACATAGAAAGAATATATGATGATGTAATGGCAGGCAGGTTTTTCCCTTCAGTGTATATTGGCATGCTGTCTATGCTGGGCAGAATCGTGTGGGTGGCTACATTGAGCCTGTTTATGTAGAGATGTCTTTTATTGGTCTCTCTGCGTTGTCTGTTTAGGCAATGCACCTGACAGCTTGGAAGGAAAAGAGCAGCTTTTAAACATGCCCACATGAGGTAGAACAGCTTGAGAGCTTTATTGGTTAATCCTTACAGAGAACAGTGCACGCTTTTCCTTGTTCTTTGTCTTCTGTTATCATGACTTGCAGAGCATCGGGACGGGGAGGGGAACTGTTCTTGCACATAGTTCTACAAACAGAATGTTGCATATTGAAATCTTGAGCCTCAGAAGTGTTAAGAAACAGCTGAAAACAAAGAACCCAAATTTGGTCAATGCCCTTTCTTTCATTACTTCTCGATCTTGTCCTTGAGCACTGATGCTCCTATTCAGAATCAGCTTGGAGCAGTGCTTCCCCAGCTGGGTCTTGGGGCAGCAAGGGAAGTTATGCTCTTCCTTGGTCAGGCCTGCCTACAAGACACATCAACTCGATGTTGCTACAATAAAAGAATTTGGCTTAGTAAACTTGAGCCAGTTTGAAGTCTATCTAGGGGTAGTAAAACATTTTGGAAAGTAAAACCGTAACTAGCAAAAGTTTTACCTTCCTTGTTTGTGTGTTTGCTGTCATGTAAGCTTTCAAAAAAATTTTTTTAATCCCTTAAACTTGGCCTGGGTTAGAAAATTACAACCTGGGTGCTGATTAGAGTTTACATCTGGATCATGACAGGATGCCAGTGAATTTCCTGTTCTTAATGATGTCATCGCCAGGGCAACATGATCTGTGGAGGCCTTATGCAGTAGCATCAAACTTGCTGGTTGCCAAGAGCAAAGCTATGTTGCACATCAAACTAACTGTTCTGTTTTAGTTTGACCTTATTAATGAAATAAAAAGAAAAAATCTTAATTAAAAAAACCTTATCTCTTTGTCCATCCTTATTCCTGTTCTTCATCTCAATGTAATGTTCAGAAAGCCACTCTTGAGCAGAAACTGGATGAAACCAGGCAGCAGCTGCTAACAGACAGAACGCATCACACTGAGACTGCGAACCACTTGGAAACACAGGTAAGTTGTTGGGGTTTTTTTTTCCCACTACAAACTGCCACTGTTCCCAGCCTCTTTATATCCTATAACTCCTCTCCTCTCTGCACTTATGCTCTCAGCCAAAGGTGAGACTATGTGTCATGTTGAGTCTTGAAAGGAATCACAGAATCATTTAGGTTGGAGAAGCCCTTTAAGCTCACCAAGCCCAACCGCTCCCCTACCCCTGCCATCCCAC